TGCGTAAAAGAAAATATGTCTTGCATCTATCTAAAATTTGTTCCAGAAGGTCTCAAATCCAAATGAGGGTCTGTTTCTCTCCAGCCCCGGATATACTGTGCACGCTGTGGTTATTACTGTGTTCTCAGTAAAGATATGAGTTGCCTAAGCAATACCAAGCAGCCCAAAGTATTATCAAAGAGAGGGGGGGAACAAAAAATGGAACAGGACACGGAAAGGCCATGGGTTTGGTAGTTAATACGAGAACACATCTGCTAGAGCTGTCAGAGGTCTGAGGTCTATTCAAAATTGGGTCTGGAGGACAAATATACAGAACAAATGGCAGTCACTTGATTCATTTGAATGGTTTATGTGTGGTGAACTCTGAGGAGCAGATTTTGTTTAGCTGGAAACTCCTGCTGAACTTCAAACATGCAGAGAGGTGGTGGAAAATAAATGAACTCATCATTCATTCACTTGATTGGTCTAGCCTAAGCCTTATGTCAGTGAGGCCATAGGCACAGAGATACACCTGAAAATGGATCCGCCCTTTGCCTACGTTACTGTGTCTCAATCTCTGTCCACATCACATGGATTTTAATCACACCAACTGTAGGCAGGAGCTGTTCCAGTACACGGCGTATGTCATAGCTGCAATATCCCACAACCAGTCAAATCCAATTCAGAAGTAGCCCCTAAAAATCTGACAAATGTGACAGCCTACTTTTACCGCCCTTTCAAAAAGAGAGAATTTTAACGAGTCAGCCCCCGTCTGTCACTCACACGTACAAGACACTGACATGGACTGATGTCATTGTTCCAGGCCACAATCTGAGAAATATCAACACTAATAAAGTGAAATTAATGTTGATCTTTCTCAATGGGAAAGGAGACTACCGCTGATGCAAGCCATTTCAGTTGGTATACGCAGGACTATTTTCTGCAACATTTAATTTGGAAATGAAAATATACTAATCTTTGGTAACATCATGTTAGAAATATGAAAAAAAAACTTGACGACAGCACATCATTTAACTAATTTTAACACACTAACAATAATGATTGAATTTCACTTTTTGTTATGACTGGCAAGTAAGATGGGAAAATCTTCAGTATGCAATGGATTAATGTTATGAGCCATAAAGCAGAGACTGAAATTGAGGTAATCTGTCTGCACACTCATTTCTACATTTCACTCCATTTTGAGCCAGTTAAGACTGAGAGCGGAGTAACTGAGGGCTTTGGGTTCATCTCTAAACCTCTGAAAAGGGTCGTCTTCCTTGCTGACCTCAGCCGGATTTGTTTCCCTGAAAAGGAAATGACTGCAACCCCCACTGCACTTGGGTCATGAGCTAGACTTGAGCAGCCAAACTACAAAGAGCTTAATCTATTTATAGGAAAACACGGCTACAGTACAGTGATCAGGGGTAAAAGGAACCCTACAAGACAGAAAGACAGTCGGACGCCAAGGTTACGCGGCAACTGTCAAGATCAACACAGAGCCTTGCCATTCCCCTGCTTTATAACTTAAATCTATTTTCCTTGCCTCTCCTAAAACATTAAACTATCCCCTTACTTTTTTACATTGTCGATTTTGACATTTAATACAAGTAAGAAATGCAGCACCTACAAAACTGTCCCATACAATAATCTAAGTAATTTAAGTACAAGTCTAGAGGAAAAACATTCCAGTCATTTTTTTTTTTTAATGCAAAAAACATTGAGACTCAATGTCAATGTCAGAACAAGCCGCACTTTAAATGCAGTACGAATCTATGCAGAGTTACTGCTATGATAACAAGAATACAAAAGCTACATTCTATGCCGAAGAGAGCTGGAGTGAGGACTGCGTCTTTAGGGTGGCAAAGCCTGAAGACATACAACAGACAAGGCACAACACTCACCTCATAAACATCCTTGAATTATATCACATTTTTATTTAGTACTAAATACCATAGCAGCAATACTACTGCTGTTAAGTCAGTTAAGAACTGGTAGCTTCCCACTGACAATTGTAGGTAGGCAGATAAAAAGGTATTCCTGAAGAGCAGCGGTTATGTGTTCTCTGTGATCTCGGTGTTATTGAGGATGAATTTGGTTTTCTGTACCAACTGACGGACCAACTGTTTGAAAAAAGTCCAATTGTAGAACCTTGATTTGTTTTGGTTGTCTGAAGGTGAAATGTTGGGTAAGGGAATCTTTAAGGAGATTATTTTTGTTTTAGTAAGATTTATAGAAAATGCATGGCAATTATAATTTGCTGTATCCAGCACAAAAAGACATTTTGGTCACGAAAATGTAATCTAATGAAATGTTTTCTTTTCTTCTAACTTGTGGAACTGTACATTATGATTTGTGGCCATCTTGGTTGATGTTGCTTTAGTGTCTTGTACGACCATATGGACTGGGCACCATGGAATGGTGAAGGGCACACAGGATCAATCAATCAACTACACTGTAACTTGGTATGGCTAGTAGGAATGGGAAAACATATTTTCAGTTTCTAATTGCCATTTTTTTATTTGATTTTTAAATGGCCCATAGTGAGTCTAGAATGTTTGCCATAAGTATATTTGAGATTCAAAGCAGGTAAAACAACACTAAAAGTGCAGAGCTGAAACAACACACATAAGGCTGAAAGTGAAAACAACCACAACACTGACGAAGAAGAACGGAAGCAACCTGTTGGTTTGCCTGCCCAACAAACTCTAAGAACAACTGGTAGATATATAGGGTTAGGGTATATAGGGTTAGGGTATATACGTATATCTCCCATTACTCAGCATGAGAAAATACAGAAGAGACACAGAGAGATGCAAGAAATGGAAAAGAAGTTATAAAATACAGGCCTGTTAAAAAGATGCAAAGGAGAACAGGGAGTAAGATGAAAGATGGAGGGGCAGCAAAGGTCCCACAAAAGAAAGAAACTCAGGTAGGTAAAGAAAAGCTGTGGAAAGCCAGAGCCCCATAGGCCCTGTGAATCACTGACTGGTGTCAGCAGGCCGTATAAAGCTGAAGCTCGGCTGTAAATTGTTGAGAGAGATCCTAGAGAGACTGTGAGCAGCTCGGACTGGCCCATGAGGAGATTCAATTTCTACACTTAAAACCGTCTGTAACCTGGTTACACTGCATGCTCCATGATTTCGTAATAAACAGTAAGCAGTATATATACCTAAATATTATTATATCATAATATCATAATACATGATATGCTTTCCTTTAAAAAAACTAAAACTCAACATGTGTGCTTACGTTCTAGATTTCAACACATGGAGCTGATTATAATACCCACAGGTGGCATAAATACTTTTGGCCATTACAGAAAAAAGGAGTTCCCATCAAATGTATATTTAAGAGTCATGTGGGGTCGAAATATGGAAGTAGTGACAAGCCATTGTTTCCAGGGCCAAAATCGCCTTCTCGTTTACTTGCAGTGGAAATGGTTTAATTCTCAGTTGCAGCTCTCCCTTCACCCATTCAGGTTCATATTATTGAAAACAATGGCATCAAGCTGAAAAAACAAGAAGAAAAACATGCCAGTCAAAGCATTAGAGCAATGATCCATCTCTAGTTCAATACGGTAACAGGAGAGCTTGCTAAAAAACAATCAGCTTTCCTTTCTTTCTCTTTCCTTCTCCCATCGGCGTCAACCAAACATCTGCCATTCTTTCCCAGCAGAAGGGAAGGTCGTTTGTTTCCACGCCGAGATCACTCGGTTATACAACTTCTGGGCTTGTTTGGGTACGACTGCTCAGACAGGATATTACAAGATAGTACAACGCCTTCTTTTCCCAACTGGAGGCTGGTCATCAGGGTAGAAACACACAATAACTGCCTGTACTGGAGACAACTCCAGATAAACAGCACATTAGGGATCTCCTCTGAGGTTACAACAGAAATAAAGAAGATTCAAATCTATTCATTTTAATTGGTGTTAGACTCTTCGTTTTATAAAGTCTAACAATCCCTCTTTTGAGGTTCAGGCTTTATCATTGTGTTTCTTTTCCAGCTGAAACCCAGACACTGTATTTTAAGTTGGCTTGCTGTGGAGAAAGAGATATCAAGTCTACTTACTCTTACTGAAGTGCATGTGACAAAGACACCAATCCCCTATCCACAGTGTTACTCAGCTTCACCACTCTTTTATTACTGTTGTGAGCTAAATTACCCCCCACACACACACACCTTTTATTAACCTGCAGTTCCCTAACTGTAAAGTTTCTTTTCCCAGTTGTCAGAAGAGAAGCTGACAGACTAATGCATGTTCTGGGCTCACTGTCAGTGTAAACATTAGAGATAACGTTCACGGTTAAATAAAATAAAGAAAATGACAGGAATACATGTGTGCATCCTCTTTGTAAGGCAACACTCTCAGGCCTTGGCCTATTAACTGCTACAGTCTACTGAGAGCGATGCATTAAAGGATCTAATTGTTCACCAGTTGACAGATGATCGTCCCAAAGTCTTATGTCTCAAGTGCCGCCTGTCTGAGCTTAGAAACAGTCTGGAGCAATGCACTCTGTTCTGTATGGCACGTTCTACCTGTGATGGAAGCTATTTCTGCACTGATGAGAGGCATTTAGCCAGAAATATCTCAAAAGCACCATTATCTCTGAGCAGATCTGATTCCAGAACACAAAACTCTTACAGTTTTTTCAACGTATTTAAGTAGCATGAAGAGAGAGGTCACATTGCTCTGCGGGACGTGTGACAAAGGATACCTTGGTAGACATGGTTGTGACCTGAATGTGAGTTCAGTTGCTCTGACAATGACAATGGTAATTTGAGGGTGTGTGTGTTGATATATATATGTGTGTGTGTGTGTGTGTGTGTGTGTTTGGTAGTCACTATGTCAGTGATGTGGTGGTGTGAGGGAGTATCACTGTCCAGCAAGTTACATGAGGCAAGTCGTTCCATTGCAGAACAAGTATGTCTGATTGCTTTCACACTGCTGTGTGTAATGTGTCTGGAATTTTTGTTTTGACGAATACGTACAGGCACACATGCAAATTAAACCTTACCATTCTGTTCATCCAGCTCATTGCCAATCTCCTGGCCCATTATCTTCTGTCGGCTGATGACAGCTGCTAGTGCATCCAAGCCTGCATCCTGGGCTGTGAGGAGAGAAGATGGAAAACTTTAATACACTTGAACATGAGACAAAGAAAAATAAATGCTACTAAATGCTAGACAACAACATGGAGAAAGAGTGCGCAAGAATTTATGTAAAATTTAGCGGTGGGGTATGACGAAGAATAATAAAGTAATGCTGCAATCCCATTTGGAAAAGCTTATTGTAAGAATGGAGCAGTTAGAATACTGTACTTGTGCTATAATGACGCAACTATTTGGGAAATAGGAATCACAGGCTGTTGGGGTCCAGCTCAGCTCACAGTGCCACATGTGAGTCATTCAGTACTTCACCCCACTCAGCCTTATTCCTGTTATTATAACCACAGCGGGCCAAGGTGCAGAGGAATAGGAGTGAAGCTGAAAGGAAGAGAAAAGAAAAGATTTGGCCTCAGTAGGTTTCCAATTTTGACACACTCTCTACCACTGGAATTTATTTTATGACCGCAGGTTCATACGGTCACCATTACCCAACTCCACCAGAAATCCCACAGGGGACGAGAAACCTCCATGTGGTTTGGTTTCACTGTCTTAACAGGAATCTCTGATCCCAAATTGACAATAACCAGAGTCGTAATGGAGACATAGCAATGAAGTGTCACATGGAGTCAGGTGAACTAACGTCTGGGTGTTCAAGTCATGTCAGAGCGATTCAGGAAACCGGAAAAAGAAAAAGGAAAAATTTGCAGTTTAGTCTCAGGCTCCCTCCATCCAAACGTTGAAATGTTTCTGAGCAAGAAACTGAATACTAAGTTGCTCCCAATGGTTAAGACAGCTCCTTATATGGCACCTCCCCTTGCATCTGTGTGTGTGTGTGTGTTTGTGGATGGGTGAATGAGAGGTACACTGTAAAGTGCTTTGTCTGTTAAGTTATAAAGGCGCTTCCATTTACCCTTTATTTAATTATGTGTAATTACCTTCAATGATTCGTTGTTGCTGCTGTTTGATCTCTCCAAAGTTAAGCCCCCTGGTCTCCTCCGTTTCGTTGACCAGCCAGGGGTTGGCTGCAATACCATGACTCGTTCCTGCCCCTTCAGCCATCAACGTCGACCTTTGAAACATCATCACAACAATATTTACTTTATTAAATGTTTCTAATCAGTAAACTAAAATGAAATGTAAAATTGTTTGGGAGACCACGAAATTACTATTTTCTACCTGAAAGCATTGCAGCAGCTGTATTAGTAGTAGTATTGAAGACAAATTACCCACCAGCACACTACAACTGAAAGTACGTAGATATCAAAAGTGCCTTTTTTGTCTTTCAATCACCATTCCAGCCCACATCTAAAACACTCATCACGCATCAGAGACTTTTAGCTATATAAGTAAACACAGCCAATATGCCTGGTTGGGACAGGCGTACAGTGCACATCTGTACAACTTTTACAGCAAACACATCTGTACAAGGCATGTTCCCTTTTCAATACTGTACTCTTTTGAACATTTAATGACAACAAAACTCTTCAGATCACAGAAAAAAGTATTTATTTACTCATTTTGTCTTTAAAGCTATTTAAACGAAAAAATACCAGGTTAGCTTGTGCAGTGTGTAAACAGTGCATGTTAATCTCTCACAGGACTGTGGACTGCTAGGGAGGCTTTGCCATGACAAAGTGACAGACCAGAGAGTACTCTACACTGTGCTCTGCTAAATACCGCTTTGTGGTTTAAAAGCTATTTTTTGGTTAATAGCTTAAAGCTGTGTTTCAGACCCCCCCCCTTCCGCGGCAGCCTTGCGGTGACGGGTTCAGAATCTCTGTGTAAGGCTGGATTTAACAATGTCTGCTGTAAGCAAGTCGTCTGTTGGTCAAGCTCAGGAAAAGTGACCTGAGCCACATGGCGATCAGTGACTAAGGAAACAATAATAATACTATAGTGAACTATTCTATATTTCTGGGGGGTTTTGATGTTTGATTGTCAAGCTGTTTTTTAAGTGGTAAGTAAAACAATCTGAGAGCATTCGAAATGCCGGTTAGCTGAGGCTGATACCATCAGAGGAGTAGGTGAAACAAGGCATTCGGACTAATCTCTCTGACATGTTTGATCACTATGAAACTGCGTGCCAGCCTTCCACTTCCTCCATGCAATTGCCCAGTTTGTGAAGATCCAATTAACCAGTCGATGGGGAGCGCCAAAATCAGTCAGGCACATCTTTTGCACTAGACTGCCGCCATCGGGCCTGAGCACCCAGGTCCTGACTGAATGACTTAGACAGGCGAGATTTAACTAATTACAACCATTTCCAGTGCAATCAAATACAAAAGGAAAGGTTAGTGAATAATGGAGGAAAGGTGGATCTGAGGGGCAACAGGGTGAACTAAGCCTTCAAATATAGGCGCCATGTCCTTCTTTTGCTTAGTCTGAAATGGAGATGCTCAGAATGTATTGTTTCAGGAATAGATTAAAGTCCCCTCTGTAACCTCTATTCCTTTTTTTCTTCTACCCAAAGTTCTCACAAAAAAAGAGCGGCTTAGATTATCCAAGCATGGCCAATCCACCCCCTCCCACATTCTGTCCTCAGAGACCACACAGTGGGAATGGGTCCTACCCACAAATCCAAATTACCCACCACATATCACTATTAAAGTTAGGTCTCACTGAGCAAACTAAAAACCATACGACCACATGATTACAGTTTGCCAGGCTAGTTTATTGGTTTAAATGTCATTTGAGATTTTTTTTAACAGAGCCTTTTATGTAATTGGGTGTGTGGTCTGTAAAAAGATGAAAGCCTGTACAAAGCACCGCTAAGTAGATCAATCCCAAAACCAAAGCTTGTGAAAGATAGCAGAGAAAGCCAGTCTCATATCAAGGCGTCAATAAAAGTCTAAATTCTACAGATCTGATGAAACACTGACGCGTAATTTCATTCTACTGTCATCTCAGTTACGCCTCATAAAAAAAACATATCTATGGCCAGAAATTAGACATACTAGACTGTACAGGAGTTTTTCTTTCTCCCATGACACCACTTCCTCTTCCTGTCCAAACAACTATCACCTGGGCCAGACCAGGTCAAACATTACACAAAGTAATGACTGCCTGCTGCCTAAGATTTTCAAAGTTGACATGACATCAGATAATGAAGAGGAAATAAGCTTTGGTGTACAGCTCTTTGATTAGCTCCATAAATATGAGTTCTAAACTGTAAACTCATCCCTCCTGTCCTTGTTCATTAACACACACACACACACACACACACACACACACACACACACACACACACACACACACACACACACAGCCCATTTCAGGAGGTGCCAAATGTGTGATCAACAGTGCAAAGCGAGCAAATCTCCAAATGAAAAAGAATTAGCTATGAAGTTAAGCGCCCTGTCAAAATGGCAGACAGACAGACTTCCTTCCGAGTTATAGCCCAGGGAGAGGTCACGACACATGGGTCTTACCGGATGTACAACTTTCACAGAAAGTTAGTGACCAGTGACATCTCATCAAAGCAGAGAACAGAGCCTATGACCTCTCCGGTCGCGGACACAGACAAGAGAATGAAGATTCATTATTTTAATTGGGCGTCCAGCACAAGATATAAAAAAAGATCTCAGAGAAGAAAATCACAAAAGGTGGCATGAGGAGGATGCTCCCTGAAGTATCGTGGGGTGATGCTTGGTTCGGCCATTCTGACATTAACTGACAGTGACAGACAGGGTGGAGAAATATTCCAATATTTTCTTGAACTACTTAAGCAACAAGCCAGCTGTCACATATTATCTTTCAAACTGAAAGTGCTCTAAGAAAAAGCACAACTGAAGACTAAGTGAGGATAGACTATTTGAGGCAGCGACATGGCATAGTAGTTGGATACCAAGTGATCTAGTAGTATGAATTTAAGTCAAGCACCACATTAATCATAAATATGTTATGACTCACCCAAACCTTTGAAAGTTGGATCAAATCATCCTATTGTCAAAATGTAGTCCTTTTGTGATCCCATTCATGAGATTTGACTGACTTTCTTAACTTTTCCTCTCATTTGGGATGAAATAATTTCACTCGATTTTAATACCTGGAAGGTTCAGGCTCCGTGATGTCTCCCTTGAAGGTGGCATTGAGCTGCTTCTCTCTGGTTAGCAGGTCATCAATAAGATTCTGCCTCCTATCAGCTTCTGACTGCATTCTGAAGAAGCCATGTTAAGGTCATGCAAAAGGTCAACATTACTTTAACCACCTTCAGTGATAGCAGACAGAGGACGTTCCAGACACTGGGTCAGTTTAGAAAAAACCCATGAACACAGAATCACTTCAGTAGTTACTTTTCAAAATACTCTGACTCCCTCTAAAGGAAGACAACTGCTACTGCAAGCAAAGAAAACCCTCCAGCCTAAAATGTGATGCGCATCCCATGACTTCCATTGCCTGGAACATTCTCAAAAAAGGATACACACGCCGAGACGATGAGGCTCGCAACAACCCATCTTTGAGCTGGGCAATATTCTGTTTGAGCTTCTGCAGCGATGCCCGTAGCGTCATGTTGATCTGAAAAGACAGAAAATGTTTACACCAGCTGACAACTAGAGAAACCCGACTATTTCAGAAGACATTTGTAAGCAAAGCCATTTAACTTGTGAACGTAACACCAAACCTTTGCAGGGTTCCCCCCTGTTCTCTGCTGCCTGTTTCGTTCATGAATGTTTTCTGCTATTTCCTGTGCCAAGCGACAAGTCGCGTCATAATTCTGTAGCCTATAGATCAATGAATGGGATAGAGATCTTCATCATTACTGACTCACAACAAACACAACAGCCACAGATACACATAGAGCAACACAGAGAGACCCCCTTTAAGTTAGGTAGTTAAAGTGGTAATGAATTACACAAAAGACTGCTCTGCAGATTTGTACTGGGTGAATACAATTGTCTTACCTGTCTCCTAATGTTGTGCAACTACAAAAATATAATAACTGTATTTTAAGAATACCTTACAATACAGTAAACACTAGCTAGTTTAGCTTTCTAGCTCATAATGTTCAGAGTTCGTTTTTGATGCTGGAGTTTAAGGTTGTTAAACAAATAGCAAATGAACTACTGGGTGTCTGAAAAAGCTGAATGAACAGCCACAAAAGCTTGAGTGCCATAAATACCATCATCAGTGTTTAATACAGCGCTAATATGTTGTACTGTAGGATGTTTGTATTATTCAGACGGGCAAAACGTCAGAGATTGAGCTTAAGCTTTTCATTCATCATGTGACTTTAACATTGCCTTTTTCCTCTTTCGATTCTGCTGCAAAGTTTCAAGCTGAATAGTAGATAGAGGATTAATGCCTAAAAACGCTCCTTGGCCAGATCCAGGACCACTATTCTACATTTTCCCCATAAAGAGCTTAATGAAAACGTTATTGTATTTGGTTAACGTTAATGTTTAGCTGTAGGTAAGAGCTAAGTTAGCTACTACGTTACTTTAGCTAGCAGGACTCAGACCGAGTAGCTAACTTATTGGGGGTAGTAACGTTATTTCTTGTAAATAATAAAACAGTCGAGCCAATTTATTGTAACCTTCGAACATATTACTTACCAGGGATCCTGAGACATTGTGATATAACGTTAGCTGTAACGAGAATATCTACTTAGTTTGCACCATCCGATAGTAATCACAAGCAAACTGGTTCTTGTTTGGGTGTGACGTCACTACGGCCCACTGCGAGGGACAGCCGACTCTCTGGTCGCGGTTTTCAGTTATGCAGGAAAACCGGAATAAAAGGCTACTGAAAGGGATCATTTTATACATATCAGTTGTTAGTTTTATTATTATTAGCTTAAATTTGAATGATTTTTGCTCATGTTTGTGGTTTTTGCCCCAAAGATTTCCACCAAAGTGGAGGTAAGTAAGTCAGCATGCATTGACTCAACATATCTACGTTTTTTTGCTTTTATGGGAGCAATTTGTACATTAAAAACAAATAAACGCCATGCTGATAAAAGAGGAGTGTTTTTAATACCGACCTAATATCCCACCTTTCAAAGGAATACTGTCATCAAACATTATATTCAACAGTTAAAACTGTTAGTGAACAAAACAAAAAATGGTGATCAGTAAAACTGAATTATAAAAATGTGTATGTTTACTATGAGTATTCACAATCTTCCTTTCTTCAGGAAAGTGAAGTGAAATACAGATGCCAGGACAAGGATATAGGGAGTGTGTGTTCCCTTAGTGAGAAAGATTAATATTTGGCAGTAAATAATTAACTATATGGACATTAAGTGATTTTTCAGTTGTTAGTAATTATTTTTAAAAGCCTTAGCTTAACAGAATACACAGAAAGTAAGAATATCCTGGTCAGTTTCTCACAGTCCTTACAGACAGGGTCTCCATATGTGTTTTAACTGTTTTCATTTTTTTCATTACACTCAAAACACATGTAGAAATTCATATTGTCCCATAGGCTGCAGCCTTCATGGAAATTGGCACGGAGGAACGACAGCATGCCGTCTCCACTCATGGGGCTAAGAAGTTTGTTTTTCAACTCCATTACATGTGGAGCCCACATATGAGAGAAGTACTTGTAGAGGTTTGATGTTTCATAACCAAACAGTAGTTGTGTTTGGATCACAACAAAAATCTGTTGTGTAGAATAATAACCATTGGGAGACTTCTTGGAATAGACTCATTTGGCATTTTGATGCTATGCATGAAGCCGTTTCTGGGAAAAAAAACTATTCTACGTGATTACCCTCCTTTCTGATGACCTTATTTTGAACAATCCAATTTTGTAACAAGTTTACCTGTAAAAAAACAACAACAAAAAAACATTTAAATAACAAGCAGTTGGTTAATTGCAATGCCAATGAGCAATTTATTGTGGAAAGTGACTGCATGTATTTTATGTAACATATAAATAATACTTAAATACACTGCAGTGAGTAGAGCCATTTGAAGGACACTTGATCAAATGATGTGTCCAAAAAAAGTGCCTGTGTTTTGTCATGTGACCTGGAAATTTTTATTCCTTGTTTGTGACTACTTATTTCTTAGAATGAGACACTGTATGTTTCCAAAGTTAAAACAGGAAAATCAAAGGATTTTTTCCAATTTCAATGACTGAAATCACCCCAAACAAGCCACACCACCATAGCTTACCTCACATGTACACAGCCCACAGGCTTATATAAAGCCCTGATCCTCAGAACGTGCAGCTAGTCACAGGAGACGCATTACCTTCCAACTTGCATTTCTTTAAAGAATAAGACTTGAAATGATTGATGTTTCAAGAACGCCAGAGTTTTCCAATTGTGGAAACATGAATTCAATCTCGATGTGCACTTCCTCTGATCAGGACCTGGGTTCTATGTCAGCAGGCAGAAGCAGGCAGAGGTCTCACTCCTATTACAGCGCAGAGGATTGTAAGAACTATGGTGTGCAGACACAGATAGAGGAAACCTATCTAAGACCTCGTTCCAGGTATGTTTTCACATTCAACTTAAAGACCTGTGCTGTTGTTTTTGTAATCCAGATTATTTTAGTGATCAGACAACAAGGAGCAACAGGCATGTGTAGTTATATTCATCTGGATTTGTGTTTTAATGTTATGGCAAAATTAATAAGGCATAACAAAAAGAGGCATAATTGTTACTAAATACACAATACTAAATTCTGAATCAACTGCTCACAGGTCCTTTTACAGTTTTGAGACATCAGAGCCTAAATCTGCCAATGACGTGGAAAACTCTACAAGGTCCTGTCCACTGAGTCCCAGCTCGCTACTCCAGTATCAAGTGAAAAAAAAGGAAAAGAGAGAAAGGAAAGAGGCTGGTTCTCACGGCACCACTAAAAATTCTAAGTCTAAACCAACGAAGCGCTCGCCATCAAGAGAACTTAATGGTACTGAAATAATGTTTTTATAATAGCATTTTTCTACTCCCAAAAAGGGTATAAGTTTAGAAAGTGTAAGTCAATTTGCATTAAATGTATGTATGCATATTTTGCTCAGGCAGCAAAGGCAGTCTGAAGTCAGTGTCTATGATGACCATCTCTGAGTCGGACAGCTGGGAAATTTCCTCGAGCTCTGGGATGAAGTATGGACAGTTCGTGGACTGGGAGAAGATTGACCCTGAGGCCGCAAAACGATACCAGCAGATCCTGAAGAGTGATCACCAGCAGCTGAAAACGAAGGGCAGAGAAGGGTTCTGGGCCATGCCCCACACACTAAGGGCCAAAGCTTATTATCACATCATCCACAGCATCAATTCCAGGTTAGGACTTTCACGCTGAATAATTCCAGGTTTTAAAAATATATTCTCTGTCACAAGGACAGGCTGTGTACTGGGGAACTGATATGACCTTTGCAAAATGATCTGACTGTGGATTGATGTTATATCTGCAGTGGGTCTGTCACTCCAGACAGAGATGTCTACTATGAACTGGCCAAGCAGCTCTTTGGGGAAAAGAAAATCAGCACCCACCCCGTCCCAGAGTACATGGAGGCAGGAGAAATACCCAGGTACTTCCATGGGTTAATACTGGTTCATATATGACAGACATTCTGTTATGCTGTAGAAATTGCAAACATGTTGAACACAGTAGATTTGCATGGGAGATTATGTTTTATTTGGTTCATTTTTACTTTATTGGCTAAAGTCTGGTGGTTTGGTGGTCCAATTTTTGGAAAATGTAAAATGCCACAGCAATGCTTTAAGTGTTGAACTGTCACATTCTTTGTTGTATTCCCAATTTATTGCCAGAGTGGAGCTTTAAAAAAATATAAAAAATGTATTATTGTACTGGTTTGGAATAAGACCAAGTGAGTTGTTGCTTGTTCTCTTCTTATCCAGATACTGCCTCAACAAAGCAGGCTTGAATTCTGTGAAAAAGATCCTCCTTTCCCTCGGCAAATACTTCCCGGACATGAACTTTTGCCCCATCCTTCCTGAACTGGTCTCCCTCATTCTCCACTTCAGCGAGGATGAAGCTGAGTGTTTCCACAGTGTGTCCCGACTTATCTGCTACAACGACCCCAACAAGCGCTACATAGACCAGACCTTCCTCACCTACCGCGCTTCCTGCATGACCTTTGGAGACCTTGCTAACAGGTGTTGCAGAGGCATCCGTAAGCTGATTGCCAGCTCTCACCAGAACCTCTTTGAGTTTTACTCTGACTGGATCATGTGGATATTTGCGGACCTTCCTTTCACATATGCCATCAGAGTGCTGGATGTCTACCTTTTGGAGGGCTACAAGGTCCTCTACAGGTTTGTTGCTGCTGCATTGTCACATGTAATCTAAATCCTTTAATATGAATGTTTGATTTCTCATGACATAACAGGACACAAGTATAAAGTACAATAATTGCTTTGTAGGGTGGCATTGGCTTTGCTCAGCCTCTATAAAGTATCGGTGTCGTCTCGAGTGGCAGACGTGGAAGACTTCAGAACAGATATGAAGAGTTTCGTGCAGAACGTGGCTCGCCACTGCACAGCTGAGAAGCTCCTGGAGAAGGCCTTTATGATTCCGATGGCCACACGTGGAGAGCTCAACCTCCTGTTCAATGCCAACAAGGACTCCCTCATGCAAAAAGGTGTCAGCATACACCAGAAGAGGTTAGTACAGAAACTGAACAGCCAGTGAGAGGCAGGAAACATGTTTAAAATAGAAGAAAAGGAAACTTTGTAAAGCATGTGGTGTACAGGTTCCAAATACTCTGGCTATATGTAGTTATTCATGCTGGAAAAAAACTGCTCAAATTTATGTTACTGCAATTTCATATTCTAATACTAGTTATGTTTATGTTCCTAAAGGCAGTTGGTTGAGACGGTGGATTTCAACAACTTCACCTCCACTGTTGTGACAGGGACTGGGATGAGAGTCGTCTGGGCCTGGATACCTGAGCGCTTTGCCCTTTTCAGTCCCATTAGGCTGTTTAACACAGCTGAACATGGGAGAAGCCTTGCCTCGTGAGTAACATTTGTTCACTACTTTAATTCCATTGAAAAACCATCTGGGAGACAGTGAACGAATGTGTTGTAACTTCACTGGCATGAATTATGTATATAAGTGTTTCTTTAATATATCAAAAGCCTCCTTTTCTTTCTGTGTCTTCATGCCTGAAGTATTAAATGAGGCCAGGTCATTATGGATCAATAACTGCTGAACACCACGTCCCAGCTGTGAAAAACATTCTCCGGTCTAGTTACATAACAGACAAAGGCGGTGTGTTTTCACTATAAACATGTTTGCTTTGAGTGTGAAAGTCAAGTGACTTACAGTTCAGTGAGTGGTGGTAAATGTTGTTTATGTAGAAAAATACCTCAAGCTGAAACTATGAATTCCTAACTGTTAAACACTTTAACTGTATTTTAGTTTAGATTTCATTTAATATACAGGAAGTATAACATTAGTGATTCCTGTGTCTGTTTTTTCTCTTGACGTCATTCCATCTTGAATAAAACAAACCACAGCTCTTAAATGAGTTTCGGCTATATAGTACTTTGACATGGAAAGATATTTGAATTGTTAAAGCTATGATCTTGTCTCTGAACAAGATACAAAATGTTTTCTTCTAATAATATACAGTGGAGTAGTATATTCATTTACGGGCTAGGTTTAGTCACCAGTGATACTGTCTGGTTGTGTAGGGCAGTTTATGGGATATTATGGGTTTTTTCTCTCTCATATAGATTCTACTCACATGTGGAGGGACACGAACCAACAGTCCTTATTATTAAAACTGTGGATGAAGAGGTAACATCAGATAACATAAATAATACTTTTAATAATTTTGTTTTTCTTTTCCTTTTGATTAAACCTTAAATTTGAAGCCTAGATGTCTTCAATAATTCATATTTCTCATTTCTCAGGTCTTTGGTGCCTTCCTGTCAACAGATATGATAGAAAGGAGAAAGCATGACTCTGAGGGACTCGTATATTTTGGAACTGGGGAATGTTTTGTGTTTACGGTGAGACATATTCCGGTTTTCTTCCAGTCAAACAAAGTCCCTCATATTGTGTGTATTGTGTATCTTCATTAGTATTTGCTGGAATGCCTCTTAAACGGTCAAACAACTCTTTCAGCTTCGTCCCAGCATGGAGCGCTACCAGCAGGCTATGGTCAATATCATGACAAGAAGAGCTTCCACTCAGCACGGTCGAGCCAGTAATGGCGCCTCCTCCGAGGTCTTAAGCAGCGGCTGCTCCCCCATCAGCTCTCCTACAGCAATCACAACTCTTACCTGTCCTGCTGGAACCCCCCAGGACCCCAGCTACTTGACGATCCCCTTCACCACCCCATTGGAGGAACCCATGACTGCCAAAGAGTCAAAGAGACCCAAGGAACAAGAAGCCTCCATGTTCATAGCGGGCAGTGACAGTCAGCTCATTATTGGTATGTCAGTAGAACATATTGTTAGAAGATTAGAGTGGGTTTTGTCAACATGTCAGCTGACAGACGGATTGTTAATGCAGCACTGATGTATGTATCCTCTCTTAGGTGGCGACGGGGGTCACGCACTGTGCCTACAGGAAGACCTAGAGGGAGGATACTCAGAGCCTTGTGACACATTCAAGAGCAACCCACTCTGCAAGGGACATTTCAAGATCCATTCTCTGGAAGTGTGGGGCATCCAGAACTCTATTTCCTTTTCTCACAGTTTTCCCTCTCAGTGAACTAATGGGAGAGCAACCTTGTAACATTGTATCTTTTGGTAAACACTGAACCTTGTTGATGCTGTTTCATTGTACTTCATTTGTATGTAAATTTCAAATATTTATTTCAAGTTTTATATTCAAGTTTATTTGTATATCCTTATATCACAACATTGTCTTACTGGACTTTACTAGCCAATGAATAGTTGTTCCCATCTCAAGGAAGCGCTATAAAAATAGAAGGAAAATCTCCACAAAGAAAACCCTTAGCATCTTATCACAGAAAGGAGGATGAGACATGCCAGCAACTCGAGCAATCGTAGTGTAATGCAATTTACAGTAATTAATCTAGGAGGATTAGTTTGAGGGTGTGGTGTAGCCACTGAGCCTCCTAGATTCATCAAATCTATATCAATCACTGAATATTTATTCATTCCAGTCAAAGGTTCATATTTAACCATCAGGCATGATTGTAACCTGAAACCAAATGCAGCAGCAGAAAAATTACAAGTCATGTTTTACCTCTCATTAAGTCTATTGATTATGCTTTGCTTTGTAGAAAAAAATCAGTTGGAAAAACTGTACCTTTCTGGGTACTTCTACATAATTTTTTTTCTTATTATTTTGTAGATTATCTACATTTGATACACAATTAAACTTCATGCACTTTTTACAATGCAATTATCAGCTGATTGTATTCAGTGTCTAATAACTTATTCAGATATGTGAACCTATTGTCATATTTATATTCATATGTAATGGGGTCAAAAGAAAATTAGTTTCAGACTGAAACGAAAATATTTTTACTTACCTGTGTTTGAGATCAAAATCTTGAAATTGACAACATATGTAAGGTATTATTAATAAGGTGTGTGAGGATGTAAATATGTGTAGCCTAGTGTCCAGGCATGTTTGTGTGTTTGCTGTTAAAATAGTCTGACAGTAATTAATGTCCTACATACTCTATACTCGTCATTGCACGTACTTTTAACCCAAAGTAGTCCCTGTAGCTAGACTAGGGCGATCTGGTCATGGTCCTACCTACCAGAAATAAATTACAGACCTATTTGAAAACCTTTGCTGCGTTCTAGTGCTGTAGGAACTGTTGTGTGTTTTAATGGGCACATCTGAACGGGGAAAACGTTTTTTTTGTAATTGATTTATTGTTTTTGTCGTTGTTATTTGTATGTGATAATAAGAATGATTAATGCGGATAATATCCACGATGTCAACAATGAAAATACCTGTACTATAGGTGGATGTGTCAACTGTATCTACGGTCATTGTTTAACTTGGTCGACACGTTTTCTGTTCAATAAACAAAGTACGTGGTACATAATGTGTAATGTCTTACCATCATTATAATACCACAGAGCGAAGCAGGTAGTTATGTGACGCGTGAACACACAAAAAAAATAGTAATCAATAACAACTCACCTTGTGAAGAATTGAACACTCGAACTTCCGTAATGTACTTGAATGTATCGTACAGGGGAATGGGCATCTTCTCTACACTGCTGTAGTTAGCTTGTGTAGCAAGCTGCTGCTACTAGCTATCTTTAAATGTGAAGTAGGTTAAATTTAAAACGTTGCCGACAAAAGATGTGACAACCTTCGGTTTTATGGATTATTAGAGAGGTGGGACTCCATTTTATATGCCCTGCTTAATGTTATACGGCTTTGTTAGCTCGCGACCACAACGTTAACGTTAGCTTTAGCTAAGTTAGCTAACGTTACCTAGCTCTCTCTCTCTCTCTGTGTGTGCATGTGTCCCAGATAAACAATCATCTGCCCTCCGTGTTTAAAGGCACTTCAGCAATAAAAACAACTTTCGTTAAGCATACAACAGTGGGGGGGGGGGGGGGTTTCCTGTCACGAGACGGGGTCATGCTAAAATCAATTCAAAATCACTTCGGCTTAGTTGCCCTGCCCATTTGCAGATGATACCTTAACGTTATATACACTATAACGTTATATCATATGGTCTGTGCCTGAACAGCTGTGGCTGCCTTCCCTTTCTGTAACGCTAGCTCAAGTAGCGTTAACATTATGGTCTATTCACGTTAGGTTTTCACGTCTCTTGTTCATTCTGTCCTTCTTTACTCTAATAAGTTAACGTTGCTCGTTGCTGAGACTGTGCAGTCTGAGCCATCAAAAGTCAGCATAATCAATAGCTGAGCTGAATAGCTGCTTGGTGGATCGTATTAATAGTGTCTACCTCAAGAGGCGATGGTGCTATAAGAATACCCCACAATAGGACTTTGTGACTGCTTGAGCCTGCTTCAAAGATGCTGGGTATGTGTAAAACAAGGCCACCCGGTGGTCAGAGGCATATCTCTTACCTGTAATACCAGTAAGGTATCGTTCATGTTATTAAAACGCTATACTGTGGTTAAACCAAAAAAAAAAAAAAAAAGTACAGTAAAAATAGCACGAGAAAAAAGCTGGATTGTTCTGCTTCATATACTCCTCTGTGGTGTCCTCATTATCCAGCACACCACATTAATTCCACTGGCAGTAAGAATATAGTACAGTCGAATATTGTGGTTTACAAAATCACTACTGTATGTTACGTGATGACATCGACTCTTTGGGTCTTAGGGCATAAATGTGCTAACATTTGCTGTATGCAATGATCTCAGTAGTAGTGTAAGGTACAACCATTTTGCATGGCTATAAACAGATACAGTACGATTTCACAGGAAGGAAATATCTGTAATCCAGTGTGCACATTAATTGCAGATATATTGGTTTCAATGTATATGTTGGCCCATGAGTAACAACAACACAATGCAGTACAGAGATGCCAGACTAGGCTTGTGGTCAGTTAGGCAGTATCACTATTACATAGTCTGTCCACCAGAAGGCACTGCCAAGAGGATATTTCAACTGTAAAATGTCACGCTCAGTTGTATCTTGGTCTCAGTTAAGAAACCTAAATGAAATGTAATGGATCCGTGTCAAGATTGTTTATTTATGTTATGTTTTTATATTAAAAAATACTATTGGCTGATATATCACATATACAGATCTTAAAAGACCAACACTGAATCACTGTCCTACAATAACGGTGTAATCTCATTTATTTCCTCTGTTTGTGTCTGTGTATGTATTGTATGTAAATAGGCTGCAGTCATGGGCCCAGACACTGCATCTGCCCCTAAAACAGAATCTTCAGAGGAAAGTAAGTGTCCATGCATTTCATATATTTTTGGTCAACACTCAACACAACACACACAACAGATTGCCTGGTTTTAAAAAATGTTACATCACACAAGTCTGAATGCCCATTGAATAAAGTCAAATGGCCCCGTAAATCTAAATGTGGAATGTTTGTCACACTTCCTTTCTAAAAGCCAACACAAAAATCACAGACATCCTCTGTGTGTTCAGTTTTTACAAAACATCATTATGTAACATTAGTCACTGATAGGAGGAAATCATTTTATTCTGCTGAGATTTTTTTTCAGTCAATTTGTTCAGTAAAATATTCAGAGGATATTCTTTGATGTGATTGTTCCTCAGGTCCGGGAGAAGTCGTCGTGAAGGTAATCTCAGAATCAGATTCCAATGATGCTTCGACCGCCACTGAGCCCGAGAACCCCAGACAGCCAGAGAGCAACATATCAGACAAGTGTTACCCTTGCTCCATCTGTGGCAAGGTATTTGACAGACCATCGAAGCTAGACAGGCATAAACCCGTTCACACAAGGAAGCCTAAAACCCTCCATCAGTGTCAGCATTGTGATAAGAGTTTCACACAACAAGAGAAGCTCATCCGACACCAGAATTGCCACAATAGGACTAACAAGCACCCCTGTCCTGACTGCGGAAAAGTGTTCAACAGGCCTTCAAAGTTAGAGAGACATAAGCGCACACACTCAAAGAAACCCAAGGTGCCTCACCAGTGCTCATACTGCATGAAGACGTTCAATAAACTGAACAAACTTGTCCGTCACAAGCGAATGCACACCGGGGAGAAGCCTTTCACCTGCTCGGTCTGTGGAAAAGGATTCTCCGAGTCAGGTCACTGCAAAGCACATGAAAAGACGCACGAGGAGCAGCCGGAAAAACCTCACTGCTGCGCAGACTGTGGGATGTGTTTCTTCAAGGCCTCAGAGCTCCGACGACACTTCCGCTCTCACACAGGAGAGAAACCTTTCAGATGCACCCTGTGCGAGAGCTGCTTCTCCCGCTCAGAAGGACTTAAAAGACACATGAGGAGCCACACGGGTGAAAGACCATACAAATGCATTATATGCGGAAAGGGATTTTATTCTCGTCAGGATTTGAATATTCATGGTTTGACCCACTCTGGAGAGAAACCACATCTCTGCCCCGTGTGCGGTAAAGGCTTCTCGCAGCTGGGAAACATGAAAGAACACGAACAGAATGTTCATATCAAGTCGGAGAAATACATTTGCAATGAATGTGGGGCAACCTTCACGCGGTACAAGTCACTGACAAAACATCAGCGGACACACACAGGAGAAAGACCCTATCTGTGCCTCACCTGTGGTCGCAGGTTTTCGTGGAGCCATTCTCTAAGCAGGCACCGGAGGACACACACACACAGACAGATGTCTATGGACACATCTAAAGACATATCAAGCTTTGAAGGACCCTCTGAGAATCCTAGCAGTTGAAAACACAAGTGAAATCTTTATAGGGAGGACATTTCATCTTCAGGCAATTTTCCCGGGGCCACAGTCAAGCTAATTAGTAGTAATTTGTAGTATTTGTGATGATTCACCTGGCTGCTTCCTTTGTATTATTTATCTTTTATTGATCAGAGCAAGAAGTTTCTGACTTCTGCCATCTGTGTTTGTTGAATTCTATTGGCAGTTAAAATGAATGTTATTTTTGGCATAGATATGTTCTGTGAATTGGGTGAAGGCAGATCGTCTGACGATATAAGCACACTGCTGTTTTTGGGGAAGCTTATGACAGATTTGAACTTCCCTTTATATAATGTGGAAGAATATCTGTTTGTCATCAACCAAAAGATCGGTCACAACCAAAGCAGAATTGCTACAGGCCCAAAACTCTTATTTTATTTTTATTTTTTGGGGGCTTTTATTATAATGACAGCTGAAGACAGACAGGAAATGGGGGCAGAGCAGATTCGAACCCTGGGCTGTTGCAGCAAGGACTGAGCCTCGGTACATGGGTAGCCAGCTCTACCCACTAGGCTAACCGGGCGCCCCTGAAACTCTTATTGACATGCACCCTAACTGTTACTAAACAAAATACAACTGTAAAATACGCCAGACTAAATTTCTGCTTTCCAACGGTGATGACCTTAATCTGATGTAACGTTAATCTGCTACCTCACTCTGTCAGTACTATAGAAAGCACACAATTATTAAACAGCACAAGATGTGTGCATAGTTCAGTCCATACCAGTAGCCTTTGGTCGATTTTCTTACTCTAATTGATAAAAGGACATTTTACTTTCTTTTTTTAATTTGGTTGAGTTTGGTCAACAGCTGCTCATCAGAATCAGTTAAATGCCCAAAATAGACATTTTTGTACTCTTATATCAAGTTATTTAAAAAAATAATTACTCCTTCACAGAATGGTTAATTCTGTGCTGACTCAGAGCTGAAAGTGCTGTTACACTTTTCTCATCTGCAGGTTTATTACCTCTCACCTCAAATGGGAAACACCTGCTTTGAGATCACTAAGTGCAGTGTGGCCAGGAGTGAACAGTGGTTTCAACTGTAAATGGCAGCAGGGGTTTTTCCCTGGTACGAGCTGTGTAGCATAACAATTAATAGAAAATATTGTTTATTTTTATTGATCTGTATAGCACATATACTGTGTAATTATGTAATCCATTGCTTTTCTTTGTGATACTATCTACATACATGGCATCTTACTGTCAATAAACAGGTACATTACATAGTACAATAGTTCATTGCATTGTTGAAACAAAATGGGGCCTCTACTCTTTCATACATATTCAACTAATGTGCTTAAATGTGTTTTTAGTTGTGCAGATAAACATGTGAAACTGAACCTTGAACTACATAAGCCAATCTGGAAATCTGTTTGATAGAAAACACAGACACTAATAATGTCTACTAACTAATGTCTTCATATATTGTAAGTGCAGCATATTTCTATTGTGTATGACGTCTGTTACTATGCACCAAACAGTTCTTCTGCATGTTGCCTACTTGATAATGAAAGACACAGTAAAAATGTGTCTAAAGAATGTAGTTGTCCTTATTTTTTTAAAGAGACCTATTTATATTTCCCCTCTAGATTTGCTTCCTATCTTCACCTAACTAGCCATTTTATAATTACCAGTGTTGTACAGACGGCTGACAAATTAAAGGAAAAATCTCAATATATGAGTGGAGAAACATAATGAATACAAATGCATACTGCATGGTACAAGTAGGCAATTAACATAACATTATGTTCTGTGTCATGTATAAAAAGGCTGTGCAGGCCAAGTTGATTCTGATTTTGTCAGAGGGATATTATTGACCTTTTAGCTGGCATGGTTTGGATCTACTTGTCCCCTTAACAGGTAAGATCACTGCAAATGAATACAAAGTTGTTCACCTTTATCCTATGATCAAACATTTCCATCCTGATGGGAGTGGTCTCTTCCATAGAGCACCAGGGGTCCCTGAATGGTTTGACGAGTATGAAAATGATGCTATATCCTCTTGTGGAACCAGATCTCAACCCAACTGAGGGAGATTTTGGATCAACATGTGAGACAGTGCTCTCCTCCACCATCATCCAAACAGTGTAACTTTTGGAAGAATGGTGTTCATCCTTCCAGTACAGTTCCAGAGACTTGTAGAATCAATGCCAATGCTCGTTAACACCACGCGAAGACACTTTATGTTTCCTTTAATCTGTCACCCGTCTGTATTTATCTTTTTTTTAAATCTTTTTTGGGTTCGAGTTATATTTTAAGTTAAAAAAATCCGATGGCAAGTGAAGGCAGCGACGACGTATCACCGACCAATGACAATGGTCAACATAACCCAGCTGTTGCTAGGCAACGTCTGTTTGGTGTTACTAACGTTAGTTGAGTTACCGACCGGTTTGAATAAATAGTTCCAGCAAAAATTGAACTTTTCGATGAAACAAGGCTTTTATTAACACTTTACTGGAGAAAGAGCGAATATATTCAGTTTTCCAACCATGGCTCTTGAAACACATGGCGTGCCTCAACTTGAACTGGAGTCTGTTATTGGGTTCAATGGTAAGTTTTCTGCGGACTTTAATGTTCTAACAATGTCGATGGTTTTAACTAATGTTAGCTAGCAAGCTAACTTCTGTGGCAATTAATCAAACTTCAATGAATATAACTAGCTAGCACGCTAATTGGCGCTAAGGAAACACCTGGGTTTTTCTGCACAGTCCCAGTACTTTTATATTAGGTTAGCTTAGGCATTAACGTTAATTATCATGTAACTTAACGTTAGTTGATAGGAAAAGGTTGCACATGCTGACTGCTGTTTGCTCAGCCACCTTTCAAAACAAAGAGACTGTCCATCGTGAGCACAGTTTATCCTTGTACATTTCTGTCTTAAACTATGTTGGGTCTTATGCTGTGTTGTGCTACACTTTGTTTCATCAGGGCGTGTGTTTTCTGGCCTGAGAGTCCATCCAGACAGAGAGCACCTGATCTATCCTCTGGGATGCACAGTCATTCTGAAGAGAATCAAAGATGGCAAGCAGGAGTTCCTGCAAGGACACACAAACAATGTATCCTGTATTGCAGTGTCCAAACATGGATCATATATTGCCTCTGGACAAGTCAACTATATGGGCTTTAAGGTAGCTGTAGTTACAATACATTTTCCATATGTTATAAGTTGTTGACATGGTTAACTCAACTAACTAAATCCCCATCACCATCAATTACCTGCTGACCCCCCTTGATGTTGTGTTGTACATTAGGAAGCAGTTGTTGTTTTCATTAGAGGCTGGAATCCATTTACAGTGAGCCACAAGAAAACAAATGTATAATTTATGTATCATTTGTAGCAATTTAAATAAATACATATTTTCCTAGGCTACAGTAATTATCTGGGACTATGCACAGCGAACAATCTACGCCCAGCTGCTCCTCCACAAGGCAAAGGTAGAGGCACTGGCCTTCTCTCCCAATGACAAGTACCTGGTGTCCCTTGGGGGTCAGGATGATGGCAGGTAAATACATGTACATGTGCTCCCTCCCAAATAACCAGTTGAAAAGCTGAGTAGTAGTTTCAGAAACTCATGATACACTCTTTCTAAATGTAAACATTACTTACTTGATCATAACGACAAGAATTCAATGGCAATGGGTTTATGAGAGTAAACACAATATCATTGCCATACACAGGCATTTTATTTAATGACCAGACAATACAAAGGCTTACAACATGTTTCTGTGTGACTTCAAGAACAGCGTTTACTGCATTGGTCGTCTTTATGCAAACTGAGATACTTCCCTGGGAGCATTATCAGTTTTTTAACACTTGATCATTCCTACAAATCAGTTAAAACAAGATTTTTACTGAAAATCGAATAGAATAGTCACACCGTAGTTGTACATGTTCACACTTGATGATCCATTCTTGAATTCAGAAATAAGCATACAGAATGTAAATTCAGTACATATTCTCTATTTGTTGAGTGTATGAGGTGTTTTCTATGTTTTCAGCATAGTGGTATGGAATATTGAGACCAAGCAGGCCATTTGTGGGAGCCCAGCTTCAGCTCACAGTGCCGGTCACTGCCTCACTGTGCAGTACTCCAACACAAACGACAATATCTTTGTTTCTGCTGGCAGGTGAGTGTAAACCAAATGTCAGCTCTAGTGCAACTCTGTAACACAGATTTTTACAATATTCAGAGGATTTATCAACAAACTCATCTGCTTTCACAATTTCAAGACATCTACTTATGGCTTTTTTCACAAAATACCTACATTCAAAATGTTCCATTATCACGTTACCTCTTGTTAATGTGCCATTCTTATCATTCTGTTACAGTATTTTAATATCATTGATCTATTTTGTGCAGTGGAACATTGCGAGTATGGGAGCTGGACCTCGTCAACAGGAAGATCAGGCCCACAGAGTGTCAGACAGGCAAGCTGAAGAGGATTGTGAAATGTGTAGAGGTATGATGTCATTTTCAGATCCAATTTGAGTTTTGCAAAATGGCTGTTTCAAATATTATTAATTAGATTTTTCCAACAAATTTCCCTCGGGGATCAATAAAGTATTTCTGATTCTGATTATTGCCAGAACTCAGTAAATGATTGGTATACAGTTGTAGTTAACAGTGTTGCCTCTTCATTTATATTGTTTATTGATTGTACATTTACCATATTAAACAGATTTCAGAGGATGATCAGTTCATTTACTGTGGCACCACCAGTGGAGACATAATGAAAATCAACCTGAAGACAGGGCTTCTGGGTGAATGCGGTCCAGTTAAAACAAAATACAGCCTGGTAGGTCAGCTCATTGGGGGTCATTACGCTTGTATTATGACTGTGTGAAGGTAATGTAAGCTGTTGCTCACTCGCGTTCCCTCTGATAGTCAGGTCTCCTGCTGTGTATATTGAGCTGATTGAACTGTATTCCTGATAGAATGCTCCTTTGGAAATATATGCAAGGGGTCATGTCATGTATTTCATTTGATCTGCAACTAATTTCTTTGACATCTCTTAACTTATTCCTGAAGCTAATTCTATCTGCAATATTTGACAAACCCCTCCAGGTCTTTCGAGATATATGATCCAGCTAGTATCAAAGGGCTAGGAATTTGAAAACTGATCCTGTGTACAAAATAGCTTTTTGGGTCTATATATTATAATTTAGCCTTTTCTGTGCAGGGTGTCAGTGTCCTAAGGATACTGAAGTCTGGGAACCTGCTTGTGGGATCTGGATCTGGCACCTTCACTCTATGTTCCAGCACTAACTTCAAAACTATTAAGTGAGTCCTGCAACTGTATCATTTACCCCCTTTAAAACATTTGCTGTAATGCATGGTGTTCATGGTTCACAGTTTTTACCAATATAGTGCAAACACCTTTACTGTTATTTTACAATGCTCATCATCAACTCCTTTTTCCTCTTGTCCCACATTAGGGAAGTCCAGCTGGAAAAGGGGGTGACCTCCATCGCTCTAAGAGGAGAGGGCCAGCAGTTCTTTGTTGGGACAGAGGCTGCTCAGATGTATCGCTTCAATTATGAGGACCACAAAGCTGAACTTATTTCCACCAGCCACAACAGTGCTGTCAAGGACGTCGTCATATGTTTGTAAGTGGCAGACAGACAATTCAGGAAGTAAGAGTCAAAGTCAGTCTTTTTGTTTTTTTATGGCTTTTTTTTTTCAGCTTTTGAATTTCCCTCGGGATAAATTAAGTATCTATCTATCTATCTATCTATCTATCTATCTATCTATCTATCTATCTATCTATCTATCTATCTATCTATCTATCTATCTATCTATCTATCTATCTGTCTGTCTGTCTGTCTGTCTATCTATCTATCTATTTGGCAAGAAATATACTCCATCATGCTGTGAAAGAATCAACTTTGCTTGACAGGATACAAGTGAAGTGTTGTCTGATTCACATTTATCCAATAAAAACAAACAGTGCCTCCCCAGTGTTTTCCCAGCAGCACACAAACAAGTATTGCTTAACTTAATTTAGTGTGTTAGCCAGCCTTAGATTTAGAAAAGACCTGGCTCTGTATTTCCATAACAAAAGATGTAAGCAGAAATTAGCACCAGCCACCAGCCAATTGCTGGTAAAACATGCAAGTGGTTGGTAGATCTGTTTCACTCACCAGCCAAAAATTGAATATTCACTAGCCATTTGGCCAGTTACATTTGCACCCTGGGTACGTCATCTGTGTGTCATCTATAGTACAATAAAACAAACACATTAATGATTGTATGGGCTTTGTGTTGTGGCCTATGCTATGAGCTAAAATCATATGAACATTGCAAGCGACGGTTTCTAAACCGCTAGTGTGAGTAGCTGTATGTCCTTCTCGGACAACAGCTTAGACCCCTTGTATCTCATGTAAAGCATCATTTCAGTACCCCATGTGCTCACTAGAGGGTGACACATGCTTGACTCATCCATGTTAGTCCTTCATAACTTTTGAAAAACTGGTTTTAGGTATATTGTACAAAAACATGGGTAATGTATTGAATCCAACGTCATCATGTCATTGATATATGGATACTTGGTTAAATACTTTTAACCTAGTTAGCAGTATTTTATAACAGGCAGTTATACCCACATTCACTTAACTGTATATGTCCATATATCTCTCTTTTTTTCGGTTTTCTACCAGTGGAACGTCTGAATTATTTGCAACCTGCTCTGAGGAGGACATCAGGTTGTGGCACATAGATAAGCCCAAAGAGCTGCTGCGTATCACTGTACCCAACATGACTTGCAACTCCCTGGACTTCATGGCCGATGGACATAGCATCATCAGTGGTGAGAATCAGGGAGAGATATCGGCAAACAAGGCAACAGCGCTTATTACTACAAAGAATATTTATTTTTTGTCTCTTTGTATGGGCTGTAGATCAGTCATAATTATATATGCTCCTCAGTTGTTGTGAAGCAAACTGCAACACTTTTAGTCACCTACTTCCACTAAAACTATTTCACATACTGAATGAGATGAATCCTGACTGACCATTAAAAATTGATTTCTGTCTTCTAGCATGGAATGATGGTAAGATTCGAGTGTTTGCGCCAGAAAGTGGCCGACTCATGCTCATCATTCACAACGCACACAGAATGGGTGTGACAGCCATCGCCGGCACCAGGGACTGCAAGAGGATCGTTAGTGGAGGGGGAGAGGGGCAGGTTAGTACACATAACAGTGATAAACCTCTAACATTCAGAAAATGGTGTAATTGTTCAGTGATCTCATCAAATGAAAACAAAAAGCAAAACATTGAAATTCCATCATAATGTATGTATGTATGAATGTAATTCCTCCAAGATGTCTGCTAGCAGACACCATGTGTAGTAAATAAACAGTTGGTGGCACAGCACACTATTTTCTGGACACTTTATTTTCAATGAATAAGCCATATGCTTAAAAATGGAATGAGTATTCCCTTTAGTTTTTTGTCAGTAAGCCAACCTAGTTACCAGCCTACTTATTTCATAACAAAATGTATAAAAAGACCAAACTGATATGAGGAAGAAACATGCACTGGCAAACACGTTCCTGACACAGCTATGTGTAGACTTCGACAAGTCATTTATTGTGGAATTCCTCCTCGATCTGATGAAATTGGTTGAAGTTGTTTTTTTCTTACAAAATGTATTGTGAATTATTGAGGAAAATGTTTGTTAGGATGCCAATTGTCAGAGAATTTAACCCATTCAACCTTCACAAGACTATATCTGTAAATACATATTTACAGGGTGATATAAACATTTTATGTGTTTGAGCACTGGAATACAGTATGATTGCAGTTTGACAGATTTAGAAAGGAGAAAAGGCATACTGTATTTATCTTTGTATTTATAGTTGTGCAGTTGCATTGCAAATCATTGAAACAAAGATAAGAGAGGATTTGAAGTGTCATAACCTGTGGTTCACCTATTGTAGGTGCGTGTGTGGGAGCTGCAGCCACGTGGCCATCGGCTTCTGGAGACCATGAAAGAGCACAAAGCCACTGTCACTTGTATCAAAATCAAGAGTGACGACAAAGAGTGTGTCACTGCCAGCTCTGATGGTGCCTGCATCATCTGGGACATAGTGTGAGTAGTCTGCATACCCAAACACTAAACATACAGTATGGTTCCTTTTTAAACCTTTTGTAGTAAGTGTACATTGTTTTTTTTTTTAGTAGCATGTAATACTGTAGGTAATTCCTAATGATATACATAGCCACAAAATACAGTGCTGCCTTCAGGTCTGCGCTGTAATGACAGAGAAATGCTGAAGCCGTTTATCGGTGTCTGGCTGGTACACTAGGAATAAAAATGAAATCCAGTGTGTTCTTTATGGAGGAAGCTTTAACTCCTTTAATCCCTGGGCTTCTTCTGTGAGGAGAATAAAAACCTGTAAAAACTCTGACGGTGGTCATGTTTTTTCACTGTCTCTTTTCTTCAATGAACAAGTCCGTGGATTAAACGCTTCCAGGCTGTATTCATTAATAGAAGCTTGGATTCCCTTTTTTTTGTATTTTTACTTGCAAGCTGATGTTTGTAAAGAGTATTACTCAGACAAGAGTCTCAGTGAATCTAGATTGGCACTGTGTCCCACCAGACACACAGTAATGTTGTGCATTGTGTGTGTTTTAATAAAAATCACATTTTTTAATCACATTAAACTGCACTGGGCAGTTCCACTACTACACAACCACTGCTACACTGGTGAAAGTTACCCTTATCGCTCCTCTTTTTATTTCATCCTCTGCTTGTCCGGCTGTAGGCGGTTTGTGAGTCTTCAAATGGTGATCGCCAACACACTGTTCCGGACACTGTGCTACCACCCAGAGGAATACCAGATCATCACCAGTGGCACTGACAGAAAGGTCTGTTTTGGAAACTGTTAACACCTTCACTCACTACTCTGTGCAGGAGAATACATTTTAATTCCAGTTATTTTTTCTATACTTCATATCCCAACCGGTATATCCTGTCACTATGATCTCAGAAAATCTGCCTTAAGGTTTGTTTTGGTTGGTTTTATGCACTGGCATGTAAGAGTGCATAAAACCCAGCAGTCTTGCTTCTTTGATTGAAAGTCCCTCAGGGTGCCGAAAGGCTGTGGAACTCAACAGTCATAATCTAGATGTCTCATTATGCTGTTATTGTTATTATAATCTCCAGTCAGTGTGCATGAGAGAAAACCCTGCCGCTCTGGTAAGATCAGCCTAGAGGAGCACAGTGAAGACTTGCACAATCACACACACGTGACTTGCATGTCCATAGATTAGTTTGAAAAGCTTGTAATTTGTTTCTCAGCTCAACATGATTAGGCCATTGTGTTGGCTGCTAGTCACTGTGACAAAAACACTCAGCCCTTTATAGTCTCTTATTTTGTGCGTAATTTTGATTAACTCTGCGCCACTCCTGTACATAAGGTCAGAAGTTCACAGTGGCAGAATGAAATGCTTGCTTCCTTGATTGTGCACTTCATCCACACCCCTTGAACCCGGCCACACACCGGAAACCATATTGCTGCCTCCCCTGCATGCTGAGAGGTGAGGACAAGTTGTGCTGATTAACGCAGTGCTGTGGATGTGCTGTGAGTGAGCCGAGAGAGAGAGAGTGAGAAGGAGGGATTCAGGGAAGGGGAGAGAGAAGGGAGAAGATGGAAGAGGGGCAGTGCCGTGGTGTTCGTGCCTTCCTGCGGATGTGCCTGTGCCACCCAAGTGCCAGCCAGATCCACCATCTGCTCATCCCAGGACACAGGCCACTCTGTCTGGGAGAACAAATACTAGCGCTCTGCTCTCTCGCTCCTGCTCTCTCTTTCTCTCTGTCTCACTCCTCTCTTCAACCGTTCATCACATCCCAGCACGCCTCTGCGAGTAGATCCACAGACAGTTAACCAATACCACTGAGAGAAGGAGTGAAGAAAAAACAAGTGGCTTAGAGAAAACAGAATAGACAAGAGGAATGGAGGGTCAGAGAGAGGTTGTTTTAATGAGATAGAATACTTTGTGAAGGATGATGACGCGGCCTTTGATGGAGCATTTAGTGGAGGCAATATGGTGCTAACTCTCTCTCCATGGGAACCATGGGAACGATGGTTGAGACCAGGTTTACTGTATTGTTTGCAGTTAATATTATGTCATGTTTGATTGTTTGTTTTTGCTATAAGAAGAATGTTGCCGCGATTAACATAATTAATATGTAAAATTGTACTCGTGCAGCACAATATGAATTTAGCCACACGTCCAGCAATGAAATTGTTACTATCTTTTATGGCGTTTTTTGACCGACGGCCTTTTATCTCTGTTGGTTCTATAAAGCAGGGGGCCACTGAATTACATCATCATATTTCTTAGTGTTGAATCAATAATGTCCTTGAAAGACTCACATTGATTAAATTGATAATTTCTCCAAAGGGGTACATTAAAGAGGAGTGTGAGTGGTAGAAACATGAAGGGTTGAAGCTAACATACCATATGTGTAATTAATAACATGGTATTAACAAAATAAGCTGTCCTGTGATGCTTTATCATTTTGTGCGGCTCATTTTGAATGTTTTTTAAAGGATCCATTAGCATGAGGACTTAATGATGCTAACCTTGTCTGCAGCTGAGGTGGCTGTACTGTGGTTGTGAACTCAGGTCTTTTTAATGGTTAGAAGGTGAGCGGCACTAACAGTAGGCCTTGCGTGTAATTAATTTCCTGGTGGTCCATGTTGTGGCTGTAGGCCAGTTTCACAGGCTGAGGTGGAGAGAGCACAGATGGGCCAAAACAACTCACACAGGTGGGAGTCTCTAATAAGCTGCTGAAATGAAACGAGGAAGGTGGGAGAGGTCGTGACTGGTGAAGAGGAAGAGACAGAAGATGTCATAGGGGAGAAGAAGTAGTAGTGTTACAGAAACTTTGCTCACACTGAGATATAGAAGAATACTGTACATAAGCATTAGTTTGTTCCCTCATTAGTGGTATTCTTAGAGGTCCCATTTTGTTTGTTGAAAAGATGATGCTTTAATGTTGGTAAACACATTAGAAACACACCTCAGCTGGATCAATCTGCACATTCTGTACTGCTGTAAGCCTTACCTTCTCATTTGATGCGCAGTTGAATAAGGATCTTTTCTAGAACATTTTTTATTTGGTGTTTATAATGAACCTTTTCTCCCTCTGGCTGTGGCTGTGTTTTCCTTAATTATGTTTTTTTTTGGCGGAAATAATATCAGCAAGCCATCCCATCTGAATAAGCCAGTCTGTGTCAGAGAAATGCTGTAGTTTCAAACCACAGAAATGTTCCTGTGGCTTATAAGGGCCAGAGAAAATCACTCTGCAGTTCTGAAACTATAAATAAGTAGTTGTTTTCTTAGTGAGCCTTTTGTTTCTCTTTCATTTCACAATAACCAACAGTATTTGATATGTGTGTGTAAGATTACATTTCCCCTCCTTTAATGCATTATAGGCACAATCTTGTGCAGAGAAATGAAATCCTGTCTCAGAGGCTATTCTTATAAATGCTGGGCTTATTCCGAGCAGCTTTGTGTAACATGAACTTTTATTCTTACAAATAGCCAAGCTATGTAATGCTGCGTATGATTTCATTTAGTTTAGTCCAATAATAAACCTCTGTATATTGTTTATTAGCAGCATCGCAGTCATTCGATCTTGACATTTGGTGTGTGTGGTGTGGTGACTGACTTTGTGCAATCTGTTTATCCTGTGTTTCACTAACTTCGATATAGACTGTTAAACACATAGGGACTGGGATCGGTGCTAAGGCATGCTACTAAATCTTCTTTAAAAACTCATTCATGACTCAGGTGCCCTTCATTTACAGTACCTGACTTTAAGATGTAATCAGGTTTATCATATAAATAACAAGAAAGGGTCCTCCTTGGTGTATGGTTCTGTGATGTTTCTGCTGCCGGAGCTATAAATAACTTCAGCTAACAATTGCCTTTTGTGAGACGTGATTATTTGACAGCTATAAAGCTCTAGGGATGATAAAATCTCATTCAGATCACCAAACATGGCTACAATAGATAGATTTGTATATGTGTGGAACAATTACAGTACAATTACTCAAGTACCATACTTTAGTACAAATTCGAGTACTGAAGTATTTCCATTTCATGCAGCTATACCTCTACTCTACTACATTTGTCCGACAGATTTAGTTACTAGTTACTTTTCAGAATAAAATTTTTCATAATCTTCCTATCCAGTAAAAACACGTATCTCGAAATTTGGGGATTTGAATTTGAATTTTCCTGATAAACTGAAGGATTCTGTTCTTTCATGGGTTACATTGTCACACAAATGAAAACACAGCCGTTTTTCTGAGCTTCTGAACTTTTTAGGGATACATGGTTTCTCACAGGACACGGACGCTACAACAAATGATCTGACATATATGATCCATTGCTGTAAATTAAACTACCCAAAAGTATGTAAAGTAGTTCAAATTAGCATTAAGAATGATAGAGTAGTAAAAGTAGTTTAAGGTTGTTTGCGGTCACATAGAGCCTGTTTAAATCTGGTGTTAACATGCGTCTTGGGTGATCCGATCACAAGTGGACAGCTTTAAGTACGTCCACAACTGCTCAATATGCAAATTAACACTTTTATAGGGCTGTACCCTACTCAGAATTTTAACCAACATGCTTGGAAATAACTAAGTAAAAAAAAAAAGTCTTAATGTGTTACGTTTCACGAATTAACAGGAAGGCCCAAATACGGTAATTAACAATATGTCATAGATAGCGTTTCAAGAAGTTTATAGGTTCTCCTCAGTCAGTAACTCTCAAAATTGTGTGATTTTTTTAAAGGGAGTCTGGGGATATTGTACTTACTAGTTCAGTGGTAAAATCAATTGAAACAGACAATGTATTCACAAACATCTGCTGCTTATCTCGGCAGGTAAAAGAGCCCACGTAATTTGCACTACAATGAACAGAATAGACAGCACGTTTCGTGTGTACTAACAGGATACCAGTTGAGTAGACGGTCATTCAGTGCGGCCCAGGACAAATTAGCGTTTACACTACAAAAGATGTGTGGTCAGATGCGCCCTAGACCAACTTGGCAAGTAGTTTGAGTGATGGGTCTCGGCGGTCGTCCACAGTTGTATTTAGAACTGTCCGCTTGTGATCGGATCACCCAAGACACATGTTAATACCAGGTGTAAAACAGGCGCATATTGCATATTAAAAACAGGAAATAATGCAGTATATGATGATGTAATAGAAGAATAGCACATAGACAACATAGAGAGTTTTATAGAAACAGAATGTTTATGTCATTTATAACATAACAGTACATGTACACTTTATATGTATGTATTTTCCAAACAAACAATGGCAGTGACAAATCTATGTTACATACAACACCTGTATGTGAATTTCAGGGTTTCTGTGTCTTAACTTCCTTCTCAGGTTTCCTACTGGGACGTGTATGACGGTTGTGCCATCCGAGAATTGGAAGGCTCGCAGTCTGGCGCCATCAACGGGTTGCACATCTCGCAGGATGGCAAACACTTTGTGACAGGTAATGACCCGTTACACATCTGCTGCTTGTTATGTTGTTGCTGTGCTCCCTATAGTGATTTTCCTATGAATATAATTCAATAGTAAATAAGTCTAAATTTACTTAATCTCTTGGGTACGTAAGCATTCAGTATATAGACAGTCGTCCTTTCACACATTACACTATGCCCACTATGCATGATTGTCTTTTTTTGTGTATGTAGTTTCAGTTAGTGCCCTTTAGTTAAAGAACTGTATTATTAAATGATTAGATTTGTCTTTATGCTCTGTTATTGAGTGTGTTTTCATCTCTTTAGAGCCCTTGTTTTCATCTCCTCTACTGATACTCTTACTCAAACGTGTCTCAGGTAATTGACATATTTTTCGTGACAGGTGGAGATGACAAGCTGGTGAAGGTGTGGGACTACATGGAAGGTGTAGTAACCCACATAGGAATAGCTCATGGTGGCAGTATCACCAGCATTAGGCTCTGCTCCAACAACAAGACCTTAATCAGCACCAGCGCAGACGGAGCCATTCTCCGATGGAAGTTTCCTCACCCCCTTTCCTCGTAATGTGGCATGTACTCCACATTAGAAGAAGAACTAGAAGCAACATAAACGTTTAATGTAGTACCACCACACTCATACTCAAATTTCTCCCTGATCTTTCCTATTAGTGAATGTTCCTATGAGAATTCAACAATCTTACATTAACATTGCACCAAAGGAAATAAATGTAATACGATTAAGCATCAATGACTATGAGAGATTGTTTTCTTTTTCAGCAGAGAACAGGAAAGGAGTGAAAAGAGTACACTTCTTGAGCAGTGTAGTAGTCTCTTAAGTGGTAATTCCACACAGGAGCTGAATATAGGTGGGAATCCACAGAGCAACATTTCACTTGAATTTAAAATGACACTTCAAGGCACAAGAACGTATTCTTCACATCAAAGTGTTTGCATTATGCTCCTTTAGACTTGCTTTTCAAACAACAGAATTAATGTTGTAGTCTACTACACAGTTTCTCAATGCAGATGAAACCAGAATATGTAAAACCAGGGCTATATTATACAGTACATCCAATTTACAGATATGGTTCTTCTGTCTGCTGCTGTAGAGACAAGCAGGAGGCCCAGATTCTTGGCCGCTTAAGCACACGGCTGCTGTCAGCTAATCTATCAAAGGCAATTCCCTGAAGGATTCTGGTTAAAGTAGGAGGCAGTATGCAACAGCAAGCCTCTCTGACTGTCTCTGATCTGAACCCATCCTCCTCACTATTGTTCAAAATGGCTAATGTAAATAATTAATAACTCACCCCTGCTTCCCCAACAAAGTAAAATGGCAAACCTGCAGCACACACCAAGTCAGCAAAAAAACGTACCTGGATCAGAGAAGAGAGGGGCATCTCAATCTTTGCCCCTCTCCACCATGCTTATGAACAGAGGACGCAGTTTGACTTAGAATTGGTTTACAGAGGTGTAACGTGTGCATGTTTCCCAACAATGCGGGGGAAAAGAGCATCGGGAGGAGCTTTGACTATTTCAATAAATACGCACATCTGGCCCACTAAATTCAATCTTTAGTACTGGTGAGCTGTGAAATGAAGCTTCAGATGATTAAAATCTGAACATAGGCCTAGCATAGAAAGATGCTGGATCCCCATTGATATCAAGAACTGCATGCAAGCCGTCCTGGCCGAATAGTTCTGTAACATCGAATTTACTTACTTTTGAGGAGCTTCCAGGATGTAGTAGTAGCAGCGGCATTAATGAGTGTGTAGCCAGACTATTTATAGGCTACAGCAGATGTGTCTGTAAATGCTGCCGTGTTATAGACAAAGTATTTCAGTTGCAGGAGGAAGCAAAAGCAGACCCTCTGTGCAGGTAGATACATTAGGAACTTGTTTTATTGGTGGTCAATTAACAGTTTCACTATCATTGGTCATCACACTGTATTTAATTCTAGTATTTGAGTCCATCCTCCTACTGGAGACATAATAACACTGTGCCTTCGCTTTTATGGTTGGGGTTGGAAATAGACTCAGGTAGAAGTTTTAGGTTATTGATGCCTTCTTTGACTCCCTCTGTAGATAAATCAGGTGATGGTGTAATTAGTCATACAGGGGGCAGTTCGAGGCTACAGTGCTTGGCACCTATTAAAGACAACAACTTCCTTGTTTCTGTAGTACACAAGTGAAGTTTAATGGTCTTCGCCATTCCAGCCAGTGTGACAGTATATTAAAATGATATCCTGGTCGTTGAACCTTTCTGTTGTGACAAACTGCAAGTTATCTCATCCAGGTTAATTCAATTCATGTCTGAGGGGCGGGCATTAGACAGGATCCTCCGAATAGAAACTTGTTCATTGTAGACAGGAGAGGAGGGGGGGGGAGGAAAAGCGGTGGTGAGAGAGTCAAAGACCGCCAGCGCACAATCCAGCGCTGAGAGCCATCGATGAGGAAGTGTAATTGAACCTGCGATGTGGAGGGAGGGAAGCAGCTCGTCTGTGTAGTTCCTGGAGAGAGCGTCTCCCATCAAAACGCGCGGACTGGGTGACAATATCGTACTGGGAATTACCGGAATGTCAGGGGAATAAAATCAGTTAACATGTGCCTTATTGGCACCGAGGCGGTGCCACCTCAGCGGTAAGTGGAGCGAAAGAAGGAGGAGGAGGAGGAGGAAGAGGAGGAGGAGGAGGGGGGTAGACAGCCTGGCAGACAGGTGCGCGGCTCCACAGTCTGTTTCATTTTCTCGCGGTCCTATTAAGTAATCGAGCCATGGATACCCGCAAGGAAAACAAGGTAAGGAAACCCATAAAACCCAAAGCGACGAAGGGGAAAGAGAAGAAATACAAAAGGGGGAGATTTACCAGGAGGAAATCGCTGCGATCTTTAGGGAATTTCATGGGAAGGATCCTTAAAACTTTGGGCACTTTGGCGCACTTCGGCGACGCGCAGCCGCCGGACGCGGAGGACGACGACGGCGGCTTCGGGCAAAGCGCGTCGGGGGGGTTCAAACAAGACGACTGTCCGCAGGTCTCCAGGGAGGGGACCGTGAAGAAGAGCTCCACGGTGTCCTCCTCTCACGGCTCGGTCAAAGACAGGCTGTCGTGGTGCTACGGCGACAAGACCCCCGGGGTGCTGGGACTGAAGAACCACGGCAACACCTGTTTCATGAACGCCGTGGTCCAGTGCCTCAGCAACACGGACCTGCTCGCCGAGTACCTCGGGCTGGAGCAGTACAAGTCGGACTTGTGCTACCGCGGGAGGGTGAACGGGGAGGCGAGAGGCGAGGAGCGGCAGAGCGCCAGGGGAGAGGTGACCGAGCAGCTGGCGTCGCTGGTTCGAGCGCTGTGGACGCTGGAGTACACGCCGCAGCTGTCTGTGGAGTTCAAGGTGAGGACAGAGAGAGAAAGAGAGAAAGAGAGAGCGCTGGGTGTTCATCTGTTAGGGCTGCTGCTGATGTTACCGTTCTGTTGTGTTGTTTTTCGGTTTAGTTGCCTGTTACATCAGTGGAAACCAGTCTAGTGTTTTAATTCCATTTCCAGCCATACCAGAGAGGAGATTATTTGTTTTTCTTTCTAATAAATGTTGTCTACATATTCAATTTAACCACTGTTATAGTTACACAAACACCAGCTGCATGTTTTGGTGAATATTACTTTGAAAGTTCTGTTTTTATTTAGAATTGCATTATTTTTCTTAAAATGTATTCAACTAGGTGGATCATAGAAAGTCTATATTCCCAAAGGAACAAAGCTTGCATGGGCCTCCTAAACCCTCCCCCATGTGAGTCAATTGGTTTTTGATTATTTGATTGACTGCACAGTTGTCTTGGAATGTGCTCTACCACAGGAGCAATAAAACCGAATCCATAGGGCCTTCAGGGGTTTTTAATCAAATCACCACAGACTAATTGACATGCATCAAACCGGGGGCCAGGTACTGCTGGAGTTTCTGAATCTCTAGGCGAAATATAATTACGCTGCCTCGAGTTGTCTGCTGTGTGTGTGCTGCACTCGATGGGTACTTGGAGAAGACTGGGTGTATGCACACTGCACAGAGAGGGGGAGAAAGAGGGGGTCAATGGGGGCTTAACAAGGAAATTTGTGGCCAAGTGGCTCTGTGCAGGCCGCTCCAGCAATGGATAAAGAGACGTCGTTCTCTTCAGGCCAGATTACTCAGGCACATTCCTCCCTTGGAATCTCCCAAGTTACTAGTTTATTGAGCTCAGCACGCAGTTGTAATGGCTTTAGTGTCACTTGTGCCCTGCCACGACTCAGCAGCGAGACTACCTGCGCAGCGACATATGTTAAGAAGATTTTGTGGGATTTGTAAGCCGTATTACCAACTCTCACAGTCTGTATTGGCAAAACAAATATTTGAATGAGCACGTCAGGTGAGCGCTTGACAATGTGGTTCAACGGTCAACTTAATTTCTGTGACTAAAGGCACACAGGTGATCTTTAACCATGTGAAGCAATAATAATAAAAACACCTCACCACTTTGCCCCACAGTTTCGGCATTTTATTGTTTGTTGAACTAGTGGTAGTTGTGTGTGTGTGCGTGCACTGTGGTTACTGATTACCTGCTGCAACAATCCAGCACTTGGTGCGGTTTGTCTGCATTCCTTGACTGTCATGTGTAGTGCGGGGGAGTCAAGCATTCCTTTCTTTTATACACAAACTGTTAAATGCATGTGATAGTAGTGTACAGACTACATTACAAAGGATTTTAAATCAACAAGTGGTAACACACGTACAGACAAAAGGCTTCTTGCTGTCGCAGTCACTTGTGGCCGGTGTGAGCCAGGCCCTCAGGGGCCCCCTGCCTTTTTTCCTCTGGGCTTGTTGGATGACAGTCATCCAGTAGGCTTACTGAGTAATATCTGCTCTGTTGCATCGACAGCCTGGGGGAAGTTATCGGGGAAGGGGGTATGCAACATGTGTACAAACACACACACACACACAGACAATCAAACAGGCATTGGGAGGCTGCTTATCATTTATATTGGAAAGGGTTGATATTCATGACAGTGACTTTGGATGTAGCCTTCCTCATCCACATCCACGGTAATGAATTAATAACACGTGTACAGAGAGGGAGGGTGCAGTGGTCCAAAGCTCTAAGAGAACTGAAGTGATTAATACAAAAATAAAGCTTGATGTTGTTTTGATCTGAAAAAACAAGGAGTCATGGTGTTACAGATCATTAATGCTGAGCACCTGCATGCGTGTATGATTTAAAGAGCAGATTTTAAACTCTTGTCACGTGCAGCTTCGCTAAGTTGAGTCTCTGCAGACTTTTGAAATAATAAAAAAGCTTGGGATGAGAAACAAAGACATGAAGTAACGCAAGGTCTTGAAGGGCATTTTTAATGGTACAGTGTGCACCACAGGATGAGAGAGATTCTTCTTGATATCAAAACACAGTACCAAATATATGAAGAACAAACTGTGGATCCAGATTGGTTGTCTCACTAATATTATGTATTAACTCTGGCACAAACCTTGGCAGTATGTTGTCTCTTACTTTACACTTGATCCACTGTGTGTCTCATTGAGGCCCTTTGTATTAAAATGGGTTAGAAATGGTGACTGTAATGGCCACCTGCTGGAATACACCAGCCCTTCAACTTTATGTCTGAATGTGCTGCCTGTATGTAAATCAAGAAATTTAGTCTTTCCTCTCTAATATACTCTCCCTATAGTTGGCTGCAATAAAAAAAAAACATGTCCTTCACTCCCCTTTTCTTGCCTTCGAACCATCACACAGTGATTTGTGTCTGTCTGCTCAGGGCGAAGTAGGAGAGAGGATGTTTACTGTAGCAAGTGCATTCAGCCTGGAAAAGGAGGCCGCCCCCCTGCTGAGACGCCTCCAATGGTGTGCACTCAGAGGAAGAGAGAAAGCCCCCCCCAGGCTGTAATCGGAGGGACAGACAACTGATCGTTATTACGAAAACTGTGCACACTTAAAGAGGGGCCGGCAAAGAAACTTTTTTTTCCTAAAATAGGGGCTCTTTTTTTGTTTTTCTAACTTATTATGAGTTTGTCAGTAGAGCTCATGTCTAGACCAAAGATACCAGAATGACCTCAGTCTTTTTATTTTTTATTTTTTTTAACAAATATGCAGCAGGGAGTTCAGTCAGCATTTAAATGTTGGGTGCATCCTGTTTAAAGGTTTGACTTGGAGCTAGAGAACAAGTTCTGTTTTACTTCCTTGGCCTATGAAAGACCAAAGTGCAGTCTGTTGTATACTGCGCTGCATGCAAAAAATAAAAACAACAAATTCTATCAAGTCCATCTTTGTCCTAAAATCACAATACATTTGAGGGTGTAAAAAACTGAATGGTGCAAATCACTCGACTGGTTTAACAAGTGATGCTTGTGGTCGTGTTTTATAAAAAAAGCGAGGCCTTTAGGTTCAGAGGTACCTGACCGGAGAGTATAAATGATGAGAGTGAAGGTTCTCAAGGGAATCATTGTTAAATTCAGACGGGAGGAGTATTCACTGTGCCTTCTGTGGGCATTTATACACAGTGATCTGCCACAACCGACCACCTCACCAACCATAATCTGATTATCCTATTTTACAAGACAGCAAAGTCCCATGCAACCCAGCACTTATCTCATTTGTAAAGTATGCCTGCATTAGAGTCCTACACATAATGAGTTTGACTGATATGAAATGTGTTACCGAATGCAGCTTTGCTCAAGAACGACAGTGACCAGCCTAATGGTAGTGCTGCATTTAAAGGTCAAAATTTCCAACTTTGCCATAAACCGCTTCGCTACGCATTTGATGTTGATGAAATCCGGTGGGATGAAGTGTCCTTTTATTGGTTGGTCCAAAAGTTGTCTACATCAATTTAGCTTGATGACAGAGTAGGCTCTCTCTTTTCTACCACACTGCATTCCTGACCTAAAGGATTTAACGACGCAGTAACTACTTTTAAGAAGTCGTAGCAAGGAGCCCGGAGTCATCTTTTTTATTTATTTATTTATTTTTTACGCTCGACAGAATGCAGCACAGTGGGGCCAGTGGAGCTCAGTCTGAAGCTCAGATGAAGCCCGGCGTTTTAAGTAGTCTAGTTTGTTCTGGGAGTGCAGGCAGTGTGTGACAGTGAGGCAGGCCAGAGAGACTGATGGTTTGTTTGTCTTTTCTTGTCTCTGCTCTCCGTCAAAGACCACTCTCATTCTCACTCTTGGTGCTGAAGACGTTTGTAGAAAGACACACACACATACATTGCAGTGGAGATATGCACCACCTGGGCTGTGATTGATTGTGTGATTGAAGTTAGATTGTGGCAAGTTATTTTTTTTGTTTTTCTATAGATTTTAGCAGAAGATTTTATTTTATGTTTTTAAGCACACAATAGACATAATAATCAGTGTATTTTATATTTGACCACAGACATGCAGTAGGATCTATGTCTCAGCCGTTGAATTGAACAGGGAAGTGATAATACTTCAAACACTTCATTATAAAACACAAGCTGGGCCAGTTACAAGTATTGTAACAGAGCCTCCATATGCTGTCTGGGAGCAGCATGCATTCCCACGACTCAGTGAGCTGCACTCCATTATACCTACACCGCTGTGACAAAAGGCAATAAAGAAACACAAGGAGAAGTGTGTCTGCGCTGTATCTTTGTAAGCACTACAGTATGAGACCATTTTCCACCAGGTTTATTATACCTGCCATGATTTATGTACCTAGCCTCAACAACACAGCATAAGAAGCCACAGGAATAAATCAATCTTTACTATTCTGGGGTGCGATAGTGCGATCACCGAATCATGGAAGAGAGTCTGGGATGACTTTCCTACTTTATCTCAGTGATGGGAAGCACATGAATATAAGGCATATAAGCTCTCGATAGCGTGACAGACACAGCTTCCTAGACTCTAAGTTGTGCACACAGTAGCGTATTTACAGCCCCAGCTGCGAGTATCAATTTCTCTGTTTCAGCAGAGCCTAGGGAGATCTTCCCCTTCTGGGCTGTAAACCATTCAGAGGCGATTATTTCCATTGCATCTCATCCTTTTCTTATTTCTTACTGATCGCCTGTAAATCCCACGCAGGGGACATCTGCAGACCAAAGGCTTTGTTCCGTCTTGACTCGCAGGCATTTTTATCAAAAGATTTTCCAAGCTTCTCTGCCTCGCAGAGAAAATATAGCTCTGATTCTCAGAATCATTTAGATTTGTCATCAGAAATACCTGCTATTGTTCTGGAGGTGAATCCGGTGTGGCCTAGGATGACAGGAAGTTGGAGGCTGAATTAGTTTAGATTTGGAAGGATGGCAGGAAGTGGTAGGGGAAGGACAGGTGCTAAGAGAGGCTCGTTTGTGTGTGTGCGTCTGTGTGTGTGCGTCTGTGTGTGTGTGTATGTGTGTGTGTGTGTTTTCCAGGGCTGACTGGAGCTCAGCTGGGACTGCTTAGCGGGGGGGAATGGGTCTTACGTGATATAGAGGAAAGAAAAAGAGAGTTAATAGAAAGAGAGGACAGTGAGGTTGTGCGTTTGCGTGTGTGTGTGAGACAGGAAAAGGATGGATGAAACACAGCGTGAGAGGAGAGAGAGAGAGAGAGAGAGAGAGAGAGAGTGGAATAAGTAGAGGCTGTAAGTGATGCCTGCCCTGCGTCCGGTCTGCTCTGACAGCAGAGGTGTGCAGGCCGGTAACACAAGGGCCGCTGAAAAATGAAAACTGCAAATGGAGCAGCCAGTAATGACAGATTCTATCCAGCCTCATTCCAGCTACACCTGTGGGGGGGTGGGGCGGCGAGTGGGTGGTGTGTGGAGTAAGAAAAAAAGAGTGTGTGCAGTTCCTGTTAAGGTTATGCCCTGTCATAATTTGTCAGCATCATTTTCTGGCTGTCACAGAGGAATCCATCTGGGCCTGCTTTGGCAACGATGAGCTGAGGGGGTGTAAATGGGTTTTTTTAGGGAGAGAGAGGAGGGTTATTTGCTTGATGTATGTTTATAGTAAATTCCTGGCCTGCCAGCACTCTGATCCGTCATTGTTTACAGAGAAGGGAGGATGGATGTAGGGAAGGGCATGAAGGGTAATGGTGTGAGGTGAAGCAAAGGTAGCTAAGACAGGACACTAAAACAGACGTCTGGGTGTGGAAGCTGGGGGTGTGCAGCCCTGCCTCTGTTGACCAATGGGAGGTCACGACCCCCGCTGTGTGAGACTGCACAGGTTTATGGCTGTCTTTTGTTATTCTCTTATCTTTCTTTTATGCTTTTTTTCTTCTTTGTTGCTGTCTTTGTTTGTAGAAAAGCTGGTAGTCATTGATTATTTTGTTTTGTTCTCTTTATTGAGAAAGAACATCAGATAAAGGGTGATTGCTTTGCCCCATTGGTCGAACCGTGTGCTCCTGTGCTCAGGATTAAACTTTGGATTGGGCATTGGATTTCTGTTTTAATATGACCTGAAAGCACACCCAATTAAAGCCCAAATTCTGTATAACCATATCTTCCTAACATAATTTGTCCTTTTGGCGGAGGGGAGGTTCACTTTAATCATTACAAGTGGGAGTTAGGTATTAACACTAATCTTGAATTTTCTCACTCACGTTTTCCAAAATGGAAACAAGTAAATAGCCCTAAATTATGGAAAAAAGGCTACGAAGCTTTGTTCCACATGCTCTGATTTAATGGAAAAACTGACGAATAAAGTCAATAAATGAAATGAAGCTCGCTTCAAGATAGAGAGAATTAAGAGAAATGTTGCTTGGAATCCACCACATCGGGTCAGACCCAATCAGGTGTGGGTTGAGAATCAGATCATTTGTCTAGACTGATCAATAGTTCCTTACAAAAAGCTCTGTGCTCCCTCAAGTTGACCCTTCCTCCCACCTTTATCCTCTCCTTGACTGGCTCTGAAGTGTTTGCACGACAAACACTTAAAGTCCCACCAGAGCTGTGCTCAGGTCAGCTTTGTACACTACTAGTGTTTGCAGAGAAACTCGACATTTTGACTAACCCGCACTGCTTTTTTCTTTGTCTGTCCACACTTGCCTCACCATCACATTGTAATTTTTTCTTCCTTTCATTTCTCCCTTTACAAGAATTCAATTAAATAAGACTTGATGCTGGGGAATACAACATTGGCAAATCTTTTTAAGTGCCTTTGAGGCTGAGTGGCACATTTCACCAGAGACGCTCTGAGAGACAACACTGTATCAACAGATATCAAAGACAGGAGCCCACACACACACACACACACACACACACGCAAACAGTGGGAGAAAGCAGAAGAGATGAGGCCAGTGGAGAAGCCATCCCCTCAACTTAATGAAGTCGTAACGTCTCGATGTCATCGGGTTTCTCAGCACAGACTCTTTGTAACCTTGGAAACTGTCCTTCTTTCTCTTCGCCCCTCATATTTTGTTGGTAGCTTTGAGAAACTGAACTGCCTCTGTTTTCTCACTTTTCATCTCTGGGACAGCCACAACAGTGCCGTCTTTTTTGTTAGGTCTGTTGAAACTCCGCAAGCATCCCTCTCTCCACTCCCTTTACTCCACTGCTCCCTCTCTCCATCTGTCCCTCATCCCTCCATCCCCTGTCAGTGCTTCCTCATAGTGATGAAGCTCATTAGCGGGCTTTCTCTGTCAGGTGGTGGTGGGGGGTGTTTATATTTAGATACTGGGATACTGCAGGTATGATGTGGTGATTTTTAATGAGGTGTGGAGCAGAGCCTGGAGCCTGTCAGTCACACACAGAGCGACGGAGAGACATTGAAGTAGCTACCCGGTATAGTGTTAATGCATGTCGTTAGATTTGGGGCCATTTTCTCTGTCTGACAACTACACTCATAACTCCTTCCTCATAATTGAATTAGACAGTTTGGCTGTTTTTCTTTTCTAATAACGCCTGTCAGGTTTTGGATATCCTCTGTATGAGTCATCCTTTGGTGTGCAGTGTATGAATGCGTTTGGAGAACTACAACAAATGGAATACTTGAGTGTCTGACTTTGTTTTACTGATGCTCTTATGCTGCAGTCTGAGGACATTGTTTAAACGACCACAGTCTTAAAATAGGATGAAGTAATTCCACTTGCTTCCAATGCAATGTAAGAGCATTCATTTGAACTGGGTGTCAGTTTGCTCGATATTGGTGAAGTTATCTGCTTTATTTTGATGTTTCAGGATGCTGTCCTGGATATTTTAGTGAAAATATCTTTGGAAAATAGAAATGTTCTGACCTCAGTGGTGCAATTAATTAAGTAATATAATATAAATAAGAGGGGCAGGGCCTAACAGTACATTTTAGAACTGACAAATTGCCCCCAGTCATCAGCTTTCAATATCATTAGGTGATTCATCTATTGATTGTCGGTTAACAGAAAAGGAAGCAAATATGCCAAACATTTGCTGGTTTTACATATGTAATAGTAATTTGAATATATTTGGGTTTTGGACTGGTCAAATAAACGATGTCACCTTTGGCTGTTTATAAAAGTTATTTCTTTATTGTTTGACATTTAAAGGCTAAATGATAAATTGATTAGCTAAGAAAATACTGTTTGTGCAGCCCTGTCTGAGAATACAGTAAACATTGCGATTATATTTAATTTTTTTTAATAGCCTGACTTTCTGTCCACAGTGATTAAGTGCCCTCTGCCTCTTCACCCTTTTCAGTGAACACTTTTCAAATCATCATAAAAAGTTCCTGTTTTCCCAGAGAGCAATGTCCAAAGAGAATTGTAGATGACTTCATTACATGATCTTATCATAGCCAAATACTGTCTGACAGATGTTCTTAGATTAGTCTGCATTAAGTGAACAAACTCTAACTTACCAATTATGATTTCCTGTGTTCCATGTGATCATCATGGCCTCATTTTGTCAGGAAGGATGTCAGTATTTAATGACTTTTGAAATCACCCGAAGTGACAGATTAATTATGATGTGTCTCCTCTCCTCAGAGCATAGTGGCCAAGTACGGATCTCAGTTTCGGGGAAACTCTCAGCATGATGCCCTCGAGTTCCTCCTCTGGCTTTTGGACAGAGTTCATGAAGATGCTAATTCCAGCCCAAACAACAACAGCAACAGCAGCAGCAGCAAGACCAAAGCCAACGCCAAGGTGAGTCCACACAATTGACCAGCAGCCACAGGCTCTGCAACAGTCTTTGTTACAGCTGTGGCCTTGACGTGGCTTAAAAAGGCTGAATGTGATCAGTGATTAAGCTCAAGGATAACTTAAAATGCAGGTACTGCTTGCTTGAGTCCTCTCACATGTATCCTTTCCTCTTTCTGTCTATCTCTCGCTGTCTCACACCCACACACACAAACACACACAACACACACAGTTCTGTGTTTTGTAGCACCTCGCTGCTAAAAGCAAATTCATGCACAGACATTTTGCTCAAAGCATTCTGAGCTAATTTTCTTGACAACATGACAAACTTTAATTAATGTACAAGTAGGTGAATAAATTCTAGTTTTTCATATCAACATTGATACGTTTATTGCGTTATTCTTAATAGTGGAGTCATAAGCAGCAGATATCTAGCATATACCATAGTAATAGCCCACTTAACAGTCAACAAGTACTAAACAAATACTAAACCATCTGAAGGTGTTGGCTTCAAGATAGCCATTGTAACTCGCTCTTTGTTAAAGCGTTTTCAGCTTAATTTCGGCAGGTAAAAAGAGCTTGATTCTTGCTTGCTAATAGCCAACTTAACAAAAGCAAAGATTTTTCTGTGGCATACAAGTTTGCGAGAACAGAGGCCACCTTCACCCCATCATGTTGGAGGTAAGTCAGCGCTGACTGTCATTCCTGCTTCTCATTAAATGTGAGCAGGAGGTCACAGACGCAGTTTGACTGAATCCTTGAGCCGCCCCAGACACCCCAGTCCTCAAGCATGTTTTATTTTCTTTGAAGATGAGTTGTAGGATCAGCTCTAGCCAATAAGAACATGGGAAGAAACCTTGAGGAATATATATTCAATATTCAATCTTTACTTAACACATGATTTCAGAGGTAGCAAAAAAAAACAGAAATCTCCTGCTCCTCGTCAGTCTCCGTCTGCCACATTCGTATTGCATGAAAACCTTTTGACATTAGTTTTTGTAGAAAGCAGAGTCTGATCCAGCTTACGGTGCATAATCATGTTACACGTAGCATTTGTGAGACCATTGTTTAATCAAAGCTGTGAATCTGTTTAGGATACAGTTGTGTGTTCCCCCGTGGAGCTGGTTTTGTAAAGAGTCGATGTTGCAGTGCTCTGAATGCCGTTGTGCTTCTTCCACCTGCAGTTTAGTTTAAACCCATTGAGCTTTGCTGGTCTGAAATGAACCTTTGTTTGGAGTGACTCTTTTCCTGTGAGATGTAAAAGGAGACGCTGTTGAAGTGGCAGACATCCGTTCACTGTCTCTCTCTCTGTCTCTCTGTCTCTGATATGGGACATTCACCTTTCAAACTTGCGCTTGGAGAGGAGCCAGGACTGGATGTGATGCAGTGAGAGGGAATGAAGGGCAGACACATTATGACTGAGTCTTTTTATCATGACTAGAGTCTGACGCTTGCCAAGCATTGGATTTCTTGGACCTTTCAATTAGTCTATGACCATCAAACTTACGTACAGTATGTATGTATGTAATTGAATGTGTGATTTCATGCGTGTGTGTGCGCGTAATAAGACATTAAGTACTGGATAAAAAGACCTGCTGGGATCAACACCCTCTGTGACAAACCCCTTGTGTTTAATTACATTTGCTAAATATCATCCTGTTTCTCCCAGTCGGCCTGGAGTGTGGCGGCAGCGCTGCCTCCACTCTGGGCCTTGCTGCGCTGCCAACTGACGACCTCCAGTCCTGTTTGTGAATGTATACCGTTATGAGCTGAACTGTCGCCGCGCTGAAACCCAATGGCCAGCTCCCCCTCTCTGACAGCAGTGCTAATAGAGGCAGCCTTTATGCCACATAAACAGCTTAGGGCTGTCGCTCTTATTAGGCTGCCAGTGAATCGTGGTATCATAAAGCCGGCTTTCCTCCGCTGCTGCTATGAGGCAGAAAGAAAGAAAGAAAATCACTGGCTTTTTCTCACCAGGAGGGAACATGTCTGATTTTCTAAAATGAAATGCTCTTCCGCCTTACCGTAAATTGATTTCATTCATGTAGCACAGCCTGCTCATACTATTGCTGATGTAATGTGAAAACCATGGAACTCTGGATTACATACTCCTCTATGGTGACCTCATGTACGAAACGTTTTCAGAAACAGCTTGATGAAATCATGGACGTACATACCAATGGTGCACATTTACACCATTGCAGTCGTACATGCAGTAGGGCTGCAATCAGGTAGCATCTATTTCTAATACACAAACCACGCACAAACAGGAACAAAAAATCCCTAACATTGACTGACATTCATCTCCCAGCATAGCCTGATATATCTGTGGTAAACTCGTAAGAGCATCCCATTGGTAATGTACAATGTACAGCAGATGTGCATATGATGTGGGTATAATCTACTGAACTCTACAAGTCAGATGATAATTGAAGGAAAGACAATAAGATGGAGTGGTGACTGAGGTGAGCAGTTAAGGGAGAGGGAGGCAGTAAAGTGACTTTGATTGCTTGGTCTGTCACTGGAGCCTGGGAAACAGGCATCTAGGATGATACAGGTCATGCTGAGCTGACAGAAACTGAACAGCGTCAACATTGTCCCTGTCAATTTCACAGACATTTAGTGAATAGCACCTTGCCCTGCAGTTCATCCTCACCCTTCTCCGGACCCACCCATAGACTTCAGATTGTTTCTTATGCAAAGTCCTGTATTTTTGTGTTGACTTAACCAACTTTTGTGTATGAAGGAGTGGAGTTTTATGATGTTAAAGGGTTTCCTAGGCTGCCTTTTTACATGCGAGGAAATCTTAAGTACTTTCTAGACGTCACTTCTTCAGTTCTCAGTCTGATAATGTCTTATGACCTCCATTTTTATGCATTACCTGCCTCTTTGTCACATTGTTGACAGCCTCCTGATGTTGTTTTTTTGTCCTTATTATTCCCTCCTCTTAAAACCAGTACATATAATGGGTTATTATAGGTTGGCTTTACATGATTGTCAGGAAAACAAAAAAAACATATTTTGCTTACTCATGCTGTTGTTTTCTGGTGAAAACAGATGTGCGTCTTTACCCCACTGAGGTATTTTAGGGTGTGACTTTATTTATTGAGTTGGGATGTCTGTCTGTGTATGTGCTGCTGTTTCCTAATTGTCCCAATGCGAGTGTCAGCGTAAATGTGAATATCCGTTGACCAGTCCCCCATGAGCATGAACAGGCTAGTGGTTTAGAGAATTGGATTTAGTTGGATTCACATTAGACTCAAAGAAACAGCTAGTCTTTGAGGGTCCCTTCACACAGGCTATCATGAGGTGGACAAAACATTAGATAGAATATAATGCTGTCAAGTACAACCTAATAATGACTAAAAAACGTGTTTGTTATAGTGTTGTTATAATGTTAAAGGGTCCAGCACAACAAAGTTGTTTGTGGAGCACACCTGCTATACAAGCGGTGTGACCAGTTCTGCAGCTTCACCCATGTAACATTACGTAACACAAGACTGAACACACACGAAGGCAGCTCAGTAATGTTAATCCTCCCTCCAATAGGACCTCGCTGAACTTGCTTGGTTTCCTTCTCGCCTCACTGGAACCACATCAGCAGCATTCCTTACCGGCTAACTTGAGACCACAGCAAAGTCACAGCTTTGTGCACAATAATCAGCATTCTTTTCTCACTGTTCGTGATAGACAAACAAGTGTGACAATAGTTACTTAGATAAAAAAGAAAAACATTGTGTTTTTGTTTAGAAAGCGTTGAAAATATCATATTAATGTCGTTTCCATTGGCTCACGTCGATGTTGCCAAAGCAAGAGGCGTTTTCTTGATCCAGTGTTGCAGTTCAGAGCATAGCTGCCACTGCCTATGAGCCACAGCAGATTAAATGATATTAAAGGTCAGAATCACACTCAGAACTGGTACATTACATTCTCCCCTTTGGCCTCAGCAGTTCACTAAATATGTGGAAAATTGGCTAAACTGTCCTGATTTGTGTGCTGAGAAAAATGGCTCAAACCAATAAAGTCAAGCTTTGTGCTATCACAGAGAGGCATCATTCTCTGTGTTCACTGAGTGAGCACCTGCAGCACAGTTTTGCCTCAGGCCCTCCATGAGTGGGATTTAGAGAGAGCCCATTTAAAAACTCATCCATCTTACCCTATGGACAGTAGTGGGACACAAGGTTTGCCAGTGCAACACCAGTGCCAAAGCATTATGTATGCATTATTCCATTTTAAATGTCGATAGTGGTTGGCCTTTCTGCCCCAGGAGGGTTGACTTAGGAGAGAGGGAGGGAGAGTAAAATCCTGTGGCCCTGGAGCCAACTGCATAGACTTTGAAATCGGGTCAGTGGATGCGGTAAAGCGAACAAGCCCTCTTATCGACGGACAGAAAAAGTGGGTTTGATAGCTCCCGATGTGATTTTGGCTCAGGTTCTCTAGGGGGGATGGAGATCAAATGTCGATGAACGAGATGAATCAGTTGACAGGTAGGGTTACAGGGAGAGGCTTAGGGGCCCTTGATCTGGGGTTTGCCATTTCTGTGTCAGTCATCAGGGCATTAATGCTTTGATACCACATCCACCTCCTTGGTTTCAGTCAAAAACATCACTGTGTTTTGTGTGGAAAAAAGTTTAAAACTGTATGTGACCCTGCTTCTTCTAACAAAAACTATGAAATAATTAAGAAAAGATTGCTGACAGGTTGCCCTTTATGGTGAGTATAGAAATATGAATTTGTTTGGCACAACATGAAGCAGATAAAATAACGATATGACTGCTTGAAGTAACTCATTGCTGCAGAATGACAGTATACAAGTGCAAATGTTCCATAAATATTTTAGGTTTAATAAGTAATTAAATAACTTATTTTCCCTCCAAAGAATTTGAGAGAGAGTCAAGAACCAGTTTTTAATATTTTACGCATTTTCCAAGTATTTTATCAGATTTTAAAAACAGCTTGGAACTCAACTCATCCAAACTTTATTTCAGAGATAGCAACTGCTGACA